CAAAAAGACAGGCAGACGGTCAAATCCACAAATAAACAAACAAATATATAATGAAACAAACAAACGCATATAGAGACAAACAAATACAAACAAACAGGCAGTTGCTGTCAGACGCCCGGTCAGACGCACACAGTGACAGGAACGGTGGTGGTCAATGTCTTTAGGGTTAACACGCAACCGACATTCAAAGAATGCAAAATTTACCAGCCTACCGTTGTCGAAGATGCTTCCGCCGATCTCAACACCAGCATCCTGAATGTTCGATTTGTGAAAATATTTGATCTTGTAGAAAAAATTATGAATGTTTTTGTCGTTGGAGAACGTTTAATTATCAAAAACATTACATAAAAACTTCTATTATAGTTAAATTTGAAAAGTTTCAAATATTTAAAAATCATTCAAATCATCATGACTTAATTTACTCGCGACTAACTCAAACCAGCAGTAAATTCATCAAAGACCAAAATCATTTAAACCATCATGACTTACTTATTTGCTCTCAGATGACAGCTACGGACAACGACTCAGGCCCTAATGGAGAGTTGGAGTACAGGATATTCGGCGAAGAGAAGAATTTTTTCTTAGTCAGAGAGAGTAAGACGCTGCCGAAAACGGCTGAATTATATTTACAACAGAGCATATCTCGATCAAGTACAAACCTCTACAAGTTTAATGATACTTTCAAGTTACCTGTTGTCGTGAAAGTACAAGACAAGGTTTGTGACATATGCCACAATGTCCGTAATATTTTTTTTTTATATTTTCATTTCATATGTTAGTAATGATTTACACGTTTTAGTAATTAAAATTGTTTTATTAATGAAAATGAGAAAAAGTTGATGTTATCAGAAGATAAAATAAAAACCAAAAAACTGGTATCATTCAATATTTTGCAGGGAAGTCCTCGCTTGTCTACCAACTGTTTCTTGTTCGTAACGATTCAAACAATCAATAAAAAGGCACCAGTCTTTGACTACCAAGAACAGAACGCTTACTACTACACACCCCTATCTCAGCCCGGAGACAACATTCTCAGAGTGTTTGCTTTCGACGAGGACTTTGGTCTGAATGGAGAAATTTATTATTATTTCGATTCAACCTACACTGGCCTCAACTCCAACCTTTGCGGTAATTCTGTTTTTGTCGATAGGAACTCAGGCTGGATAACTTGGTCCGGTGGTGATCTTTCTCCTAAGGTTGGCTTTGATTTTGAGTAAATAAACTAAAGTTATCATCTTTTTTTGTATTTGTACTAAAAAATAATATTTTGCAACGAAGACCTAATCTTTAAAACGCTAAAACGATTGTTATTGCGAAATTGTATGAATTCTTACTGATAAACATTTACAATTTTAAAATGTTTTAAAATATCTCAAATTTTGATAACTGAAGAATTTTTATCATTTTCCAGATCATCACATGCTCGGTGATTGCCTCCGACAAAGGAAGGCCACCTTTGACATCTCAGCCGACATTTATTACGATTGAACTCTTCGCCAGCAACGACTTCATCCCCCCAAAATGGGACAAACTGAATGGAGTCGAGATCGATAATGCTGTATGCCCATATATTTGATTGCAAATTTTCAACTAACCATGCATTTTATATATTCAATGTTTACATGCTTAATCAGTTTGAAAGTAAAAATGTTAAATACATTAAGTTTATTTAAAAACAAAATTTTATTTGGATAAAATTAGCCAAAAAAATCGAAATCATGCAGTTTTTTGAAGTGCCGGAAAACACAGCAGCCAATCAGCCGTTCTTATCTCTGAAAGCCACATTGTATAACGACACAACCATCGATTACTTCATTCCGACCGAGAGTATCTCGGTACTGAATGGAGACCACAGGTCTATTTTCAATTTAATCTACGGCAATGGTTTTTGAAATTGATAAAAAGTTTTGGTTTCGTAGAACTTAAACAATTATAAAAAAAAAACTATAAATGATTTTCCAGTTTTGATATCAGGAAGAACTCAACTTGGATGAGCATCATTGTAGCGACTCCACTGAAGGAAAGCAATCAAATGCCATTCTATTACCTTAGATGCAGAGCCTTCGTTCGTTCTTCTTTCATATACAATGATACTTATATGTTCTTGATTTAGTGGCTTGCGTTTGAGAATAGTTTTATTTCATGTATTATTTTAAGAAAACAAACTTATAGAACGCGACTGAATGAATAACACTAGCCAGAGATAAACATTGAAAATTTTATAACTCAACCATAGTAAGCAATGCAAGAAATAAAAATTTTACTCTTAGATAATGTCAAAGAGAGACGCCACTCAAAAAATAGTAACCATAGCCCGACTGAAGGTCAACATAAAGGACGTGAACAACCAGGCTCCCAGATTTTTAGGCATGGACAGCAATGGGGGGTATCCGGCTTCAGTTACGCAATACAGCAAAAACGGAGATTTTGTCGCCTTCGTTACTGCAATCGACTCCGACAAAGACTGGCCAAATAATAAGGTTTCATTGGAAAATTTCTCGCCGATAAATAATTGCTAACTCAACCACCTGTCCGCAGATTACATACAGTCTCATGAACACAGCTGACAGTTCGTTGTTCAGCATCGACTCCTTAACGGGCGAGATCAAAGTGAATTCATTTCAAACAGGCGGTCAACCAATCTTCAACCCAGACATAAAAAAAGTCTACACGCTGACTGTCATCGCAACCGACGGAGCGCCATCTACCATCAACGGCCCTCTTCCAAACAATGGTTGGTTCAACTTTCTATTTTGTTTCCATTTACACTTTTGCATCAATTTGTATGCAACCGAAACAATTCTTCGTTTTTATAATAACAACGAAGCGTTTATAAAACTTTTAATTTAAAAAAAAAATCTAGAGAAATTATCAACTTTTACAACAACTACAGCCACGGCGCAAGTTCAAATAGTTGTGAACGGCGGAAAAGCAGACAGTCCTTACTTCAGTCAAAATTTCTCCACCAGCCTGTCGGAAAGTGTGACGAGAAATAGCACTGTGCTACTTGCTACTGTGGCGCCGAGTACTACCCCGCTCAACAAAGGTTGGACGTTGTTTCTGGTGAAGTTCTTGAAATAATTTTTAAATATTCTGATAATCGTAAGTGCGTATAATTACGAAAGAAAAGTTTATAAATTAAATTTATAATCTTAAAAATTAATATAAATTAAATTTTAAATTTGTTAAATTTATATAATCCAAAAATTGCAAACGATAACGTATAAATTTTGTTTGTTTGACTGTCTCCGATTGATTCGACTATTGCAATGCACTCCAGTCTACACGCCTCAGTACAACATCCAAGGTGGGAACGTAGGTCGCAAGTTCGCCGTTGACAACAACACTGGCAGGATTTATACAGTCGGAGAATTGGACGCCATGAAGATTAGTGTTAGTTGGTTGGATGGTTGGTTGGTTGGTTGGTTGGTTAGTTGGTTGGTTGGTTGGTTGGTTGGTTGATTGGTTGGTTAGTTGATTGGTTGGTTGGTTGGTTAGTTAGTTAGTTAGCAGATGGTTTATTTAGATATTTTTAATCCTCTTTACTTCAATTTGAGATCTTCTTTTTGTTTCATCATTGTTGTTACTACCGTATATCTAAATGTTTTTGCGTGAAAGAAACATTTTGTGGTGAAAAACAGTAAAGCAGTTTGTTTCTGATTTTAAAATGCATGTTAGATGTACGCAATGTATGCTTTAATTTTAATAACACTTCCGTTGGATAACTGCACAACTCAATTGCTGGTTGATTTATCATTACAATCACAAGGCTAAACTTTTCAATTATTTTATCACACTTGAAAAAACAAAAATATCTAATAAAGATATCAAAAAAATTTCATACTCAAAAAATCCAATAACGACCAATTTAGAAAAAAGTTCTAACGCTAAAAACCACTACAGACAAACAAACAAGCAAACAAACAAACAAACAAACATACAAACATACAAACAAACAAACAATCAACCAACCACCACAAAATGTCTTCCAAATCCCAAATCCATCACCACGGCCACTAACACTTTAGACATACAACCTGCTGCTCGTTGCATTTGACGGTATCCGCAACAACCAACCAGCCTACGTCAGCGTCACCCTGTTGAGCGACCAAAACCGGAGACCCCCCACGTTCAGCGCCGCTGAGTACCTCTACTCGAAAAATGACGTCATCGAGAAAGATTCTCAATCCGTTAATAAAGTTATTGCTCAGGTGATTTAGACGTTTTTAGCGATATTGTTAGTGATATTGTTAGTGATATTTTGAAATTTTTGACGATCATATGGTTGATGATGTTGTTGGTAATATCAATGATGATAGTGTTGTAGTAGTGAAAGGATATTTTACATTTTAGTGACGATAAGGGGTTGTTATATTATGATAGGATAATGCTGATTAGATACTTGTACTTGAACAGTTTTTATCAAAACAAGTTGGAATAATAGATTAGGGTTTGGTCCAAGAGATTTCAAACTCACTCACACACACACCACACACACGCACACTCACTCACTCACACACACACACACACACAGATACAAGCTACCAGCCCCAGCAACAACCAGCCAATAACCTACTCCTCTTCCCAACCGGACAACTTCGTCGTCTCGAGTAGCGGTCAGGTGAGCATCGTCAGACCGCTGAGTCGCGATCCACCAAACGGATTCTCACCCCAGCAGGTCAATGTCATTGCGGACAACGGGCTGACCAGGGGCTACAGTGTGGTCACTCTTCCATTGATTGACATCAATGATAACACGCCCCTTTTTGATCTCTGCTGCGTCGCTGGGAGGGTGAATGAAAAGATGCCCTCTAGTAAGTTTCATTGAAATTTTTTTTATTCATTTTTTGATTCTTGAATAAATATTTGATGAATTGTGTATGTATGTGTGTGTGTATGTGTGTGTGTATGTGTGTGTGTTTGTGCGTGTGTATGTTGTGTGTGTGTGTGTGTGTGTGTGTGTGTGTGTGTGTGTGTGTGTGTGTGTGTGTGTGTGTGTGTGTGTGTGTGTGGTATGTGTGTAACTGCTAAATTAACTAAATTGATTTTTTTTTCTCAGTGACATTAAAAATCACTTACATAAAACTTTAAGATACCTCGGTCATGACTCTGAAGGCCAATGACGCAGATAGTGGACGAAATGCCGAAGTAAGTCGTCGGCTTGAAATTAAATAAAGTTAAAAATTCAAACTAATTAAATAATAAATTAATAAAAATAATTACAAATCATATAATTCGAAAATAATTATTCTTTTTTTTCCAGGTTGATTTCTCACTAGTTGATCCATCCGATTACTTCTCCGTCCAGCCAGACGGTCTGATCATGACGAGGGTTTCATTGACAATGGATAAACAGAAGCACACGTTGAAAGTCAGAGTCACGGATCGAGGAGCACCTTCACGTTCTTGTACGTTTAAAATAATGTGTGTGCGTGTATGTGCGTGTGTGTGTGTGTATGTGCGTTCATGGTTAGGTGTAGATGCATGTACGTGTGTGTGTGTGTGTTTGTGTGTATGTGTTTGTGTCTGTGTGTGTGTATATGTTTGCTTTTTGACATTTATTCTCTTGATTATACGTTTATAGACTATAATTTGTGAACGCCCAACAGCTGAAACATTCGTAGACATCTACGTGAATGAAGTTAGCGACTTCGTCCCATCCTTCCCATTACAAAGTTATCAGGATACTATTCCTGAGAAACTCCCGGTAGGATCCCTCGCCACCTCCGTCAGCGTAACAGACCGGGATATGTTGGATACTGTATCATACACTTTGATGGATAAACCCGGATCACAGGACGCCGCATTTTTCTATGTTGATTCCTTGCAGGTGTTTGATGGCCTCTATAGCGAGAATAACGCTAAAAGATACAGTTCAGCTTCTATCAAAATTTCAAAAGTTTGTTTAAATTTCTCGCTGAATGTTTTTGCTTTATCAATTTTTCGACTAATTCGCAATTTAAAATTATTTAAAACATTTAATTTTCAGATCATTGACTTTGATTCCAACCGCAAATCCACATATTCTTTCATTCTGTCTGCGCAAGATTCTGCCCAGAGAAGCACCACGACTCAAGTTACAATAGCAGTAAGAGACATCAACGATCATGCTCCGGCATTCCTTCCCCAGTCAAAAAATGTCTCCATCAGTGAACTGGACCCCGTCGGAAAAAGTGTGGCCACGTTTGCTGCCACTGACGCTGATAGTGGAGATAATGCTAAGTTTGCGTACGTCGTGCAAAAAATCAAATGAATTTTTTGATGTTTCATTTTTATTTGCTGATATTTATTTATTAGAAAATACTTTGTAGAGCATTAACTGATTTCAATTGAATGCCGTAGTGTTAAGATGTATTGTAATTTTATAAAAATTAGCTTGCAAAACCGCTTCACAATTTCTCATAAATGGTTATAACTTCCAGATACTCGATCGATTACGAGAACACAGATCCCAAGTTCAACTTTAAGATCGATAGCTTAACGGGTGCGGTCACTATAAGGTCAAGGTTGGATTATGAATGGAGGTCGTCCATGAAGGTCAACATACTTGCTGTTGATCTAGGTGGGAGGAGTTATTCTATTTATAGTTGATTCGAGCTAATATCGATTTCTATTTTTTTTTAATTAATACAATAAACTTCTATATGTTTCTATTGTAATTCTGATGATTGAAGCTAATTTAAATGTATGTGTAAAGTTATTTAGAATAAATTTTCAAAAGAGTTTACTTTTAATTCGTGAGTAACATTCACATTTTCACAAAAAATGTTCTCAGGAACTCCAGCGCAGACGGGAACTGCAACGATGTTCGTGACAGTGACGAACGAGGTCGACAGCCCACCGATCATCAAATTCAACAGCAGCCCATATAGCAACAGCAACAATATCCAGGACGCTCCCATTGTGGTCAGGAGCAATCTACAACGATCCCAACCAGTCTCCTGTCTGAATGCCATAGATCCAGATAGCAACAACATCAACGGTTTGAACTTTGACCTAGTCTGCACCAACCCAAACCAACGTTGTTCCGACTTTACTATCGGCAATGGTGTGGAAGATTTAAAGTTTTTGAAAATTTAAATTTAATTTTCTCACTTAAATGACTTTTAGTCAGTCGATAATACTTACTTATCACTTAACAAAACTCGTTTTATATGATTATTCACTCAACGAAAGCATTTATTCAATTCGTTCATTTAAAAATTGTAACTTTTGTTAAATTATTCTGCCTAAAAAAGAAAGAAATTAAAAAAAAAATAACAATCTGACAGATGGTTGTTTGAGAGCAAACAGGGACGGATACAGCAGGTCCAACCTGGGGTTCGATTCGTACAACATTCCTGTCAAAGTCACAAAAAGTGGCACTCAGTCCACCACACAAGATGTCAAGTCGGTCAAATTTTTATTTTTTTAAATTTCACTAATTAATTTTTAATTTCCTCAGCTGTCACACTCATACTTATACTCCGACTATCAGTGAAATTTTTTACGAATTTGTTAACTTCGCCATCGTGATCATAACCTTAAACATCGTCATCGTCGTCGTCATTGTCATCACCATCTTCATCATCATCTCATCTTCATCTTCACCATCTTCAGATTACTAATCGAAGGAACGGATTCAGTGCAGCCGACGAACGGCGCGAAACATGCAGACGTGATGAATTTCGTCGGAGAGAATGGCGCATTTTCATCGATCCCACTCGGAAACGTCTTCATATCCGATCCCGACGCCTGGGATATCAATAAGGATACATTCACTATACAGAATCCCAATACATATTTCAGGTTGTTGGGGTAAATATTAAAACTGCTATTATATTTGTGATAATAACTGTTAGCGATGGTCTTTGTTGGAACTTCGCAACCTAAAACCTCAACTTTCACCTGACCAACAAATTATACCCATATATATATATATATATATATATATATGTAATATATATATATGTGTATATATATATATAATATATATTATATTATATATATATATATCTGTATATTATATATACATATATATATATACTGAAAAACTATTAAATAATATGTATAAACATACTTCCTACTACAAATATAGTCATAACTTAACAATTTACACATGCTATAACTGTTAATAATTACCATTTCTCTTGATATTATAACATCAGACACAAAACAAATTTTCGTTTATAATTTTTTTTCTGTAACTTTTCAACCATCCACCACCGACCGTCAGCATGGATCCCAACAAAAAGGGGCAAATATTGTTGCGGGGAGATGCCCCACCGGGCCAGCACACGGCCACCGTGAACGTGAAAAAGCCCCCATTCAGTGACGTCACAGGGACGATAACTGCCACCCTGACACACGTCAATGAATCAGCTCTGTCAAGGGCTTCGTCTTTGAGGCTGGCTGGTGAGATTTTGTAGTGGTTGCTGATGGTCGCTTGTGGTCGCGTCTGACATTTCATTTTGTTTTTTTTGTTTAATACGATTGTGTCGTCAATTTGTGATGACTTTTTTCAATAAAGATGCTTCTTGCTGTCACGTTCATTGCTGTTGTCTAGGTACATTTATGAGAACATATTGATAACAATGTGATATGGCCAAGTGTGATTTAATTTCATATACGTGCTGGGTTGGTTAGTTATTTGCAGTTCGAAATCTTAATAATTAATTATTGTTCTTTTTCTTCTTCTTCTTATTATTATTATTGTTGTTGTTGTTGTAGGATTGAATGACGCCAGAGATCTCTTAAAGAAACCACCGAACAACGATAAACAGATCCGACTTCAAATACTGTCAGACAATATTGCCCGGTTAATCGGACCGACTGCAAAGGTTTAATAAACCTTTTTGACGATTTTGGCCCTGTTATTATTATTATTATTATTGTGGTGATAGAATTGATGACGTTAAACCAAATGATGATAAAGATAGTGATGAAAATGATGATAAATATTTATAACTGTGTGTTGTTGTTGTTATTATCATTTTCATCATCATCCCAAACCCACCACCCCGATCCAGGTTCAAATCCTGTCAATGTGGGACGTGGAGAACGTATCCCAACCGTTGGTGGATGTGTTGTTTGCTGCCTACGGATCGCCATACTACTATCCGGAAAAACTGGCCGCTATTGTAAATGCTAATAAAGAAAATGTTCGTTCGTTCGTTTGTTTGTTTGTTTGTTTTTTTAACAAATTTTAAACACTTGCAAACATTTTTAAAAGTTTTGCGAATTATATGAAACTTTTTCAATTTTAAAAGTTTAAGAGAAGGTAAATTATTCAGCCAAAAATGTGCAAAGATTCATCAAATTAACCGCAACATTACTTTCTTGCCATTTTTCTTACAACTTACAATGTTATCCTTTCTTCGTCATTAATGTCATCATCATCAACTCATTCTTCTTCTTCACCATCATCTTCATCATCATTTTCTTCTTCATCATCATCTTCATCGTCACCATCATCTTCATTCGCACAGCTTCAGCAATCAGCCAACGTGTTGATCACCATGTCGCCAGTAGACCTATGTAGATCAGAGTTTTACAACTGTTGGCAGGATGGTTGCGCAACTCAACTGCAACGAGACGAGACGAAACAGCGTATCGTCAACACAAACGAAACTTCGTTCGTTGGTCTCTACGCTAAATTTGTGCAGTCGTGCTTTTGTTCTGCAACAAACAACAACCTCATTAACATCAACAACAATAACATCAACAGCAACCAGATACGTTGTCGTAGCGATAGTTGTTTGAATGGCGGAATATGTGTGGCCAACAATACTGCTATAAGGTAGAACATAACATAATAATAATTAATAAATTATAAGTTATGATGCAATTATTATATTATATTATTTATTTATTATAATTTTTCCAGCTGTCTATGTCCACCCGGCTTTGATGGACGAAGATGCCAGATGACGAAAGTGAGTTTCACTGGACCTGGTGCTTACCTCGTTCTGCCCTCTATCAACGCCTGTGAAAATGACCACATAGGACTTGAAATACTTTTACCTAGGTCAGTCTTTTGTTTGGAAAATAATGATACCTCGGATATTTATGATGATACTTCGGATATTTATGATGATACCTCAGATATTTATGATGATACCTAAGATATTTATGATGATAATAATGAATGATAGCGATGATAATAATAAATGATACCGATGAAAATAATGATATCACCGATAAAAATGATGATTTGAAATAAAAATTCCATGTTACTCCAACGACCACTACTTCTAGTTCCTTGCCATCCACGTGTATGCTACTCTACGTCGGACCCATGCAACAGAGCCCACCAGCAACAACAACACCAATCTCTTCGTACAACGACCTAGCAACTTCGTCGAGTCCACCGAAAGATTTTCTCCTCCTTGAACTGGTTGATGGGCTGCCGAACTTGCGTTTGAACCTGGGCGATGCGGAGGTTGAGTTAACTTTTAGGAACACTAAACTGCCATCATTAGCTGATGGCAACTGGCATTCCATTGACGTCTACAAAACTGGAATGGTAAGGGTTGTGTATTTTGAATGCCTGTGAACGTTTTGTTTTAATTAAAAAAAACTTTCAAGCCTTTAAGAATCATTCTGTTTGAAGATTTTGTGCAATATTCCAAAATTACTCAATAAGTTTTTACCGTTGTTATATGAAACGTTTTGAAACATCGCAGGATGTGAAGATGATAGTGGACAAATGTGAGACAGCTCCCATAGTTGAAGATATGCCATCATCGACATTAGATGCGTCATCGTGCGAGGTTCGATCAACGTTTCCAGGCGAGAGGTTCCTGCTGAATCCCGGCGGTCCCATCCAACTGGGGGGCCGATACGATGCTGCCAACAACTATCCTAACAATTGGATGAAGGGAGCTTTCAGGGGCTGCGTCAGAAATCTGCAACAAAATGGAAAAGTACTTCATCAGAGATTTAGATTTCTGATAAACTTTTGAATTTTATTTGATAAAAATTGAGACAGAATTCGCTTCATTTATTTACAAAAAATTTAAATATTTTTTAACAATTAACATGTTTTTTTTGCTATACTCATGTTTCCCGTCAAAGATTTTATCAATCAATCAATCAATCAATTAATCAATCAATCAATCAATCAATCAATCAATCAATCAATCAATCAATCAATCAATCACACATTCACACACAAATACATACGCACGTACACACATTCACACACACACATCTAGACACGCAGATCCAAACACACACAAACACATTTTACAGATCTTCGACTTGAATATAAGCAACAGCACACTGTACAACAATGCCCAAAATGGCTGTACGCAAGAAGACTGTTCCAAATGTTCGTCCAATTCTTCCTGCGTGGTCCAGGGCATTCCGGGGACTCCCGTCTGCCAGTGCCCGCCAGGATATCGGGGCAGTAATTGTAACATCGGTAAGTCGGTCGCTATGAATTGTAGTGTGACGTAAACTGATGTAAATTACTGCTGTGCAATTGTTTCTAAGTATATGTAAATTTATACAAATTTATGTAAATTTATGTTTCTCGTTAGTATAAGGATGTGAATTTATACAAAATTTATGTAAATACGTTTCACGTTAGTATTAGAAAATGTTAATTAAGTTTGTGTATTAAATAATTAGTATTAGTTGAAAGTTAATTAGCGCTATAATAGCAATTAATAGTACGAGAATTTATTATTATTAATACACATACGCACACACATACCACACACATACCACACACACACACACACACACACACACACACACACACACACACATGTACGCACATATACCACACACGCACATACCACACCACACAGATACTACGCACCACACACACACACACACACGCATACACACATTCGCAGCAACGTCGGTGAAATATTTCACATCCAATCAATACGTTCAATGGAAACCGTCTGCAACCTACGCCAGCAGTCTCAACTCTTCAGCCAATTGGTACTCCGACAGCTTGCAGATGCTGTTTAAGACCAGGAAAAGTAACGGCGTCCTCTTCATGGCTAAAAGTTTTACTGGTTACGAACGATATCTGCTAAGAGTGAGTTTTTCTGTTTTTGGAGTGGTTTGTGTTTGTATGTGTGTGTGTGTGTGTGTGTGTGTGTGTGTGTGTTAATTAAAACAAAATAAATTTAATTTATTTTTAATAAATTATAAATTTCTCAGTTAGTTCTGTTTGTGTGTATGCTGCCATGTTTCTCACATTACATCCACACAAATTTAAAATCGAAGGTACGTGCGGGCATGTTGTCATTCACATATGACCTTGGGTCAGACGATCGTGACCTCACGTTGTCCAACATCAAAGTTGACGATGGGGTTTGGCATTTCGTCAGGATTGATAGATACGGGAATGTGGTGAGTAGTTTAGGATGGTTATTAACATTATTACGCTATAATTCAATTCCACTAGCTTAATATACGTTTTTGTCATTATTGTCATTAACATTTAATACTGCTTTTGACTGATTCAAGCTATTAGTTGATTAGCATCATTTTAATCATCACCAACATCTGCCGTCATCATTATCCGTTCATCATCCATATCTTCGCATTCACCACTGTAAACTCCAGACATCATTCTTCGTCATCGTCAACATCACCATATCCACAACAACCACCCATCCAACCAACTATTCAACCAATCAATCAACCGTCCAACCAATCAACCATCCAACCAACCAGCCAACCAACCATTCAACCAATCAATCAACCATCTAACAAATCAACCATCCAACCAAACATCCAACCAACCATCCAACCAACCATCCAACCAACCATCCAACCAACTATCCAATCAACCAAAAACACTTCAAAGGTTGAACTGAGGTTAGATTCAGGCGATGGTATGAGATACAACTCAAGTACTCCGGCTTCAGAGCATAGGTACTTGAAGATGAGTACTGCAAATGTACTTGGCGACCTCAGCTACAACCAGTACAGCAAACAAACCGCAGTACTCGACAATCTCGAAAAAAGTTTGTCGTGTTTTTGTCTCTGTCGAGTCAATTTTTTACTTTTATTTTTTTGTAATTTTTCCAACATGGCATATATCTTTATTATTCAGTCATTATTTTCACCAACAACGTCATCACCTTATTGTTATCTTATTTCATCATCATATCATTATTTTTTTCGAAATCATCGTCTTCGTATGCAGGAATCCGTGTAACACACACCACACACACACACCACACATACACCACGCGCACGCACACACACACGCATCGCGGGGATATCTCTGCATTCAAACCCGGTCAATGCATCGTCAGTGTCAGACGCCTTAACCATTACACCACCACTACATTCACCATCTCGCAGCTTGCATATCCGATGTTCGATACTCTGGACACCTGTTGCCTCTTAGCAACGAGGAGAATACAGAATCTTTGGTAACCATGACGATGGTGGGTGGGAGTGACGTTGGATGCTCCATAACTGGAGTCTGTGTTGACGGACTGAACTGTCCCACTGACCAGATCTGCGTCGATCTCTGGATGAAAAGTGAATGCAGGTAACAAATCATTCAAAATAATTTAGATTTATTTAAGATAATTATTTTTGTTTAACGCCTTATAACATTCCGTTAAATTCGCCGTAATGTGTGACCTCTTTCATAATGTTGATCACTCCCTCTACATTTCATCGTCTGCTATCTAAAATTTATCTTCTCATTCAAATTTCATCTAACTTTTCCCAGTTATTTATTTAACAAAACTAAAAACTTTTTTCCTAGTTTAGCTTCCACAAAATGTTTCTCAGCTCAATTCTTTATCTTTCAAACACAACTCGTGTTAAAATACTTGCTAAAATCAAATAAAACAGTTAATATCTCCACACATACACGCCACACATACACATACACACGCACGCACAGATGCAAACAATTCTGGGTAGCCAACGACCCCAGCCACCAAAACTCAATTTGCGTTGCCAAATCCTGCTCTGACTCTCCGTGTATGAACGGCGGAACTTGTGTGATGCTGGACGGAAAAGTTGCCTGCATATGTAGCGCTGAATGGGGCGGACTCTACTGCACGGATAATGGTCCCAAGGAAGAAGAAACTAAAAATAACACTGAGAGAAATTTCAATCTTGTTGCAGCTATCGTGGTTCCTATCATTGTCGGACTTCTGCTACTGCGTTAGTGTATATGGATTAGTATTGTTTCATTATATATTTTATTCTTAACTAATTGATCAATTAATTTATTTTATTATTTATATTTATTTATTCTAAATGTTGTATAAATATTTAATCTAGATTCTTGTATATTTACACGCACTAAACAGTTTTACTGCTGTTTTTGATATACTGGTGTTGCTGTAGAAGGAAGGAAGACAGGCTTCTGTACGGCGAGCCTGATAAAGAAATTAGAGAAAATGTTATTGCCTATGATGATGAGGGGGCCGGTTAGCTGTGTTGTGGTTGTTTTGTTGTTATTGTTTTTGGTGTTGTTGCATTGGTGTTGTTGTTGTTGTTTTATTGGTGTTGTTGTGTTGCTGTTGTGTTGCTGTTGTTGTTGTGTTTTGTTGTTATGTTGTGATGTTGTTCTGTTACGATGTCGTGTTGTTGTTTATTACCATCACCATAGCTGTCGTTTGTGTTAATTTACTGTCTGCTTCATTAGCGTTTACTATGAGAGCAGCCTTGTGACCAGCGTTCTTACTACAAAGTTAAACATAAATAAATAAATAGATAAATAAATAGATAACATGAAATAAAAGAGGTAACAAAAAACTAAATAAAACTACTACAACCACAACAACAACAACAACCACAACAACAACAACAGGTGAACAAGACAACTATGCCTTCGACCTGGGCAAACTCCAGAAGTCAAGCACTCCATTAGAAGTTGACACACTCAAAAAAACGCCCAATCTCGAAACATTACCAGCTTATACTACCAGAGGAGGTAACAAGAAAAACATTTCAATTAAGATTATTTTATAAAAATATGATCACCGGTTTTCGCTTATGTTATTACATCCTCTGTTAGAATTCTACGTATTCCGCCAAAACTTTATGATTAAAGTATTAAACTATAATTTTTTGAGAAAAGTAGTTCAAAAGTAAGAAAAATTAAAATATTTTTCAAGAGAGAGAGAGAGAAAGAGAGAGAGAGAGAGAGAGAGAGAGAGAGAGAGAGAGAGACATCATTAGTGACGTTTACAAATGTTTTGAAGTACTCAAACAGATATAATGATAGAAAAAAATGATCATAATAAATAAATAAATAAATGATTTTAAAAAATCCACATTGCACTGGCAGCTGCTGTACCAGGAAAAGGTTTACCAGGAGATTACCCGAGCATCGCAGACTTCATCTCAGACAGACTGAACACCGTCGACGGTGACCCAGACAACACGGGTGACGATTCAAAGGTCAATTTTGAGTTCGAAGGTCAAGGAAGCGACGCCGGGTCTCTCAGTTCATTGGCTTCTAGTGAAGCTGATCGAGATATCGATTTTGATTGGCTGGAAAGGGCCGGTCCACATTTTGCGCGATTGGCTGATTTGTATGGTGATGGAGGTCAAGTTTGATTGTGATTGACTGATTATTATAGAGATATAATTGTGATTGGCTGGTTGATCAGCTGTCTTTTTGTGTGGGTGTTTGTGCGTGTGTATTTATGTTTGTGTGTGTGTGTGCGTGAAAAATTGTGCATCATACGTTGTTATTTTTTCATTTACTCAAACAAATAGCAGTAAGATTTTATATTCCTGTATAAATTTTTATTTCAATTTTAAATCTTATTTATTTGAAAAAAAAGATCTTATCTATTTTATCTTCTATTTATTTAAAATATTATAAATTGAAGTGCTTTTAAATGTAGTGATTAAAGAGACGTTCAAAGCAGTATATCGTCCAAACAACACATGCAAGCGTGTAATGCCTGTTGTTATTTGTTTTAAAGCACGCATGCAAACAGTTAAACTCCATTTGAATGTGTTGTTTTGATAAAGAACTTTGTGTGTTGTTAAATTTAAAAATTATGTCTTTGTTTTTATGTTTTACCTATTTAGTTTTTTAATGAAATTTCATGTTTTTAAATTTTTTTTCACAATTCTTTCACGAATTTATATCTTTTGAAAGATTTTGTCTGTGTAATATCTGAATGTACGATCTGATTTGATAAATTTTGTCTCATATTTTGTATATATCTCATATTTTTTAATGTACACTTTTGGAAAAAATTATTTTGTAGACACACTTCGTTCTTATTTAACAGTAAAAATAGCGTTCAGTGAAGTAACGAACTATGGTAACGTTTCTCACGATGTCTCTTTTCAATAGTTTTGCCAACTAACATTTTGAAAAAACATCTCAACAAAAACGTCTGTCTGAAATAGTGAGACTTGGACCGTCTACAAAAAGTTGCTGAAAGTGTTTATCCATCAATCCATCTAACTTCTATTTCTATCGTCTTTATCCATTTATTCGTTAGTTTATCCATTCATCGATCCATCCATTCATTAATTCATCGTTATAACAATAATAATAAGTTCTGGTACTCTCAATATTAGTAATTATAATGATAGATGTAATATAACAAAACTAGTTATACTGCATATACTGCTACTACTGATACTACTGTTAAAACTACCGCTACTGCTGCTACTACTGTGCTAGCCAAGCCACTACTAGTCCTACTGTTTCACAACCGATCCTATTTGTATGTTGTTGGTGTAGTTGTATGGAAATTTGTAATGATTAGATTTAGATTGGGTCATATATAATATATAGAATATTCTATTTTATATTCTATATACATGGATTGCTTTAATAGACGAAGCGAATTGATATATCAAGGTATATGGCTATTGCTATACATCGTATTCTTGCCATGGAAAACTACAGGAGCCAGGCAATTTGTATAGCCAATTGTTCGAACCAGTCTTTCAGATGATAAGAATTTGTGTATGTTGTCTATGTTGCGATAGTGTATAATTTAAAAGTAAAAAAAATGTGAAAGTGAAACCGGGCTGCTTCTGTTATAAAACATAAATTAATTGAAATCAAAGATACTTTATTCTCATCAGACGTCAGTATTCTATAATGTTTAAAGGCTCACTTATATTCAACTACAACAAAAATGTTTGTAAAAATATCAAACGATTCAAATATCGGCAACTGCTTTCTAAGATGTTTCCATCCATTGATCCACCAACCCACCAAGAACACCAACAAGTGGGACGAACTGACGGATTGGTCGGCTCATTAGGGTATTCGGTGAGTTGGTTTTGTTTCTGTCTGTTGCCTTTCCTTCACTAATCACTATATATTATAGTATAGGATAGGGCTAGTCAAGCCCATGCTGCTTTTTTAGTTTTTTGGTTATCAAAATCGTGCCTAGTTCACTAGCTTCTAGTACTAGTTGTTAGTTAGAATTGTAAATTAGAGTTTTAGTTTGATTAGGGAAGATGAAATATTTAATTTTGTTTAATTTAAATAAAATTTTGTTTAAGGTTACTTAAGGTTTAAGGTTACTGGTTATTTTTTGTAGGTACTTTTTTTGCTAGTTGAGTTTATTCTATTGGGAGCCAAAATTAAGGATTAATTTGATGTGCCCTTGATGCCTCTGCTGAAGCAAATGCAGAAAAAGATTATGACTTTTTAGCTTTTACCCTTTAACCTCCATTGACCAAACAAACAGCTGATGATAAAGAACAAGTTGATACAGAACGCATCCAGTGGAACCTACCACTACCTGCCATCGATGACCAGGAGTATGAACAAACTTGTCCAGATCATCGACAAGGAGATGAAAAACATTGGGGCACAAAAAATTATCATGCCCTGTCTGGCCCCGAAGAGATTATGGGAAAAGACAGGTTTCAATTTTTATAGAATTTTCATTTATTTTGTGTATACCTCTAAGTAAAAAAGATAAATAGGTAGTAAATAAATGAATAAATGAATGAATGAATAAATGAATGAATAAATAAATGAACAGATAGGTGGAAGACCATGGGTTCTGAATTATTCAAAGTGGTTGACAGAAATGGAGCTGAACACTGTCTTTCTCCTGTAATTTTTTTTTATATAATTATTTTTCTTCTTTTTAAATTTCTGAAAAATTTTCCCTCCTCACTAAGACACACGAAGAAGCCGTGACCAGCATTGTAGCCAGTGATTCGCCCATCTCTTATAAAAGGCTGCCAATCAAATTGTATCAAGTTGGTTTGCGTTTTTCTGGGGTTTTTATTTAGATTCTTTGTGGTTTGTTGTTGTTTGTTGTTGTTATGTAGTGGTTGTCGTTGTTGTTGGTTGTTGTTTCTGGTATTTCTACTTTTTTTTTACTGGCAGATTGGCAAAAAGTTTCGAGACGAGATGAGGCCAAAACATGGATTGCTGAGAGGGAGAGAGTTTGATATGAAAGGTATTTTTGGGATATTTTTGTTTCATTTCTAGATGCCAGTTTCCAAGATGGATGGTTTCCACTCCTCCATGTACACATAAATTTTGACATACAATTGCAGATTTGTATACATAACATAATGTTTATTTCGTATTTTCGCCTTGCACAATTGCAGATCTGTACACATTCGATTGTACACTTGAGGATGCACAGAGAACGTTTGATGAGGTTTGCAGTGCATACAGTAACATATTCACTTGGCTGGATGTACCCTTTGTCACCGGTACATATTTGTTCCTCTTCTGATTTGTTTTTTAATTATTATTTTAATTATTTTATATTTTTATATTATATTATTTTTATTATTATCATCGTTTCATCATCTTCATCATCATTACCATGTAACCACCATCATCATCTTCATCATCATCACCATGTAACCACCATCATCATATTCATCATCATTATCATGTAACCACCATCATCATCTTCATCATCATTATCATGTAACCACTATCATCATCTTCATCATCATCACCATGTAACCACCTGATGGTGGTTAAATTGTGAACCCATCATCATCATGTAACCCATGATGAACCCATCATCATAATTTAACCACCACCATCATCATCTTCATCGCCATAAAGTGGAGGCAAGCACCGGGGCAATGGGTGGAACAAAGTCGAGCGAATTCCACCTACTCAGCGAGGTCGGGGAAGATATTCTCTACAGATGTGATGTGTTAGGAGTTGTTATTATTATTATTGTTGTTATTATTATTGCTATTATTACGAATTATTATTATTGTTGTTGTTGTTATTATCACGAGTACTTATATATATTTTGTAGTTTGAATCCAAATTTAAATCTGGACCTATTCAGCGTTTTACTGATTTATTTTACTCCATATACTATTCAGCTATCGAATTTATTAAATTTTCTGCTACTTTATTTTGTTCTATTTTGTTCATTCATTGGTTTAATAATAATTCAATTATTTTCCGTATTTTTCATCAACAAAAAATATACACACACTCACACAAACACACTATTTCATTCATTTTTTCCTCACTTTTTTGACCCACCCATCAGATGTGAAAAAGGTCTGAACGAAGAGCTCTTGTGTTAGTTTAGTTTTCAATTTTATTTTGTTGAAAAAATTTAAAAATTAGCGCAAATACTAATACTTTTAATACTAATTCGCACGTGTATTAGTTCTAATTGTGATTTATTGCCGCCTGTACCTATCACTATTTTGATCGTTTTATTGTTTTAAAGTTAATTAAAGTTAACTTTAAATTAATTTTAAAGTTTTTTTTGGCAAACTTTCAGTTAACGAGAGTAAAGAAGAGTCCAAGGACGATGGCGGTAATAAAACTGTTAATAACAATGTGAGGTGCACTCAGAATGGTTGCCCTGGTGTAATGCATAAACGTGCCGGGATTGAGGTTTATTTCTCTGTCTGTCTGTCTGTCTGCCTGTCTACCTGTTTGTCTAACTGCCTACCTGTCTGTCTGCCTACCTGTCTGTCTGTCTGTTTACCTGACTGCCTGCTTGCTTCCTTTTTCAATAATTTAATTTTTTATGATCTGTGTTGTAATGCGTTGATCCGATTCATGTATGTATATACACTGCCTGTGTTTGCTTGTGTGTGTGTGTATGAGTGTGTGTGTGTGTCTGTGTGTGTATGTGTGTGTGTGTATGAGTGTGTGTGTGTGTATGAGTGTGTACGTGTGTGTGTGTGTGTACGTGTGTGTGTGTGTGTGTCTGTGTGTGTGTGATCTTTAATAATGTCAATACACACACACACACATTAACGCACATTAATAACGTTAAACCTTCCTTACAGTTGGCTCACGCTTTTGTCCTGGACACCAAGTATTCTAATGCTTTCAAAGCCAAATTTATCGACGCCTCTGGCAATAAAAGGTAGCTATAGAGACAGAGAATCAATAAATTATTTATATCTGTATGTCAATCAACCAGCCAACCAGCTAACCAACCAACCATCCTACAAGCCAACCATCCCACCAGCCAACCAACTAACCCACCAATCATTCAATCAATCATTCATTAAGTTTTTTGTAGAATATATAAAATATTATGATTATTGTGTAATGTATCGTGATATTTTATGCCGTATTTTAAAGATTATATAATTTTCTTAAAAATTCAATTACAATGTTTGAAAAAATTTTTCACAAATTCTCCCTTTCTCTACTTTTCTGCCTCTTTCTTTTTCTCTCACTTTCTCTCCCTTTCTCTCTTTCTCTCTCTCTCTCTTTTTCTCTCTCTCTCTCTTTCTTCTCTCTTTCTCTCTTTCCAGATGCTTAGTAATGGGTTGTTATGGAATTGGCGTTAGTAGATTACTGGCGTCGACAATTGAGATGAATTCAACGAAAGATAAATTGAGGTACTGCTCGTTGCTGGCTCCTTATCAAATCTGCATCATCCCACAAAAGGTTCTAACTATCTACACCATTCTTTTATTCATTCATTCATTTACTTGTTTGTTTGCTCATTCATTCGTTCGTCTGTTCATTCATCCATTATTATTATTATTATTATTTTTTGTTTTAAACTACATGGCCAAATTATTTTATTTTAAAATTAACTAATACTGTTATTAGCTCGACATATAGTATTCATTACGAGAGAAACAATGCATAATTAAATATATCTTTCACTCCTATGCACTCGCAGCGTCATCGAGCTTAGGAGGATCGTACATTTCATTAAAACTCAATTTTTATTAAACTTCATTTCTTATTTCTTATTATTTTGAATTGTATTTTGTCGAATAAATAAAATACGTTCACATTATTATTATTATTTTTACCACTACTACTACTACTGTCAGGAAGGGTACAAGAGTGACGTCACGTGGGGCATGAGCGAGTCCCTGTACGACAGACTGACGGACACCACAAACCTCCACGACGAGGTGGTCATCGACGATCGGCTGCACATGTCCATCGGCCAGCGTCTTAATCAGGCAGTCGCTAGTGGCTACCCCTATATAGTGGCCCTTGGAAAGAAGGTGGCTATTTTTCCTACCACATTGGAGTAGTTGTGGTAGTAATTGTTCAGGAAAATTTCCGCCATCAGTTTGCTACTTTTCTAGAAAAATCTCTCACTCTTCAATGCTTGCTATGGTGTTTCTGGTTACTTACTTGTGATATCTAGCATTTAAGATGAATTTACCAAGAAATTTCTTTTTTCACCGGGTTTTAGTGGCCTTATTCTAATGTCTCTTTATACAGTTGTAGAAATAACAGTTGTTGGCGGCTTTGATGTGTTGTTGTGGTGCTGCTGCATGTGCTGTTGTTTTGTTGTTTGAGTTGTTGATGGTGTTTGTGCTGTTGTTTGTCGATTATTTGTGATGTTTTGGATGATGGCGCTGCTTTATGGCGAGGCTTGTTTCGATTTCTGTTAAAATCCGTTGCTATGTTATTTGAGCTTTATTTGTGTGTATGTGTGTGTGTGTGTGTGTGTGTGTGTGTGTGTGTGTGTGTGTGTGTGTGTGTGTACGCTTGCTTATGCATCCACACACACACACACACGCACCACACACACGCACCACACACACGCACGCACACATGTCACAGGTGTTACAGATTTTGCATCTTAATGATTCATCATCTATACAATACAATATATCTAATGTTTTAATTTAAAGTAAATCATAATGATGATTAATAATTATCTTGATAGTGAAGTATTATTATAAGAAATTGGAGTTTAATATGGAATATATTATAATATAATATAATATAATATAATATAACCCTCAATTTCAAACATTTACATGAATATTATTAATTAGTTAATTATATTAATAGTTATTAGAGAAGATATAATATAAATATCTCGTATGTATGCTATACGCACACACACATTGATATTTGTATGGATGAATGAACAATATTTTGTTTCGCTGTTTTGTTATTATTATTATTATTATTATATTTTATTATTATTGTTGCTGTTTTTGTTGTTGTTGCTGTTGTTATGTTAGGTATGTATGTTTTTTTTATCGAGTTGAGCATTTTCATGTTATTTCAATTCAAGTTAGCGTTTTCTTGAATGCTTTTAGCACAGCGGTCATTGTTGTATGTTTGTTTGTTTGTTTGTGTGTGTGTGTGTGGTGTGTGTGTGTGTGTGTGTGTGTGTGTGTAACCATTATTATAATTTTAATTTTTAATTTTTACCAACATTGTATCTATTTTTATGATTATGATTCATATAATTCACAGCCTGAATATTGTTCACGAAACACGTGTTTTTTTATTTCATCTGCATGTAGAAAGAGAGAGAGAGAAAGCGAGAGAAACAAAGAGAGAGAGAGAGAGAGAGAGAGAAAGAAAGAGAAAGGGAGAGAGAGAATTAAATATTTCAAGAGTGTCTACTATTTTCAGCTGAAATAAAAAAAATCAAATGGTAGATAGATATCATTTAATGATAAATATCATTTGATCATTTGATGAAACTCATTCCATCATTCATTCACTTATTTATTCGTTCGTCTAATCAATCGACCAATCAATCAACCAATCATTCAATTAAGTAATTTAAACTAATTTACTAACTTTCTAATTAGGCACTCGACTCTGGCTCTCCGCAATACGAGTTCATCGACGTTTACAAGGGTTCAACGAATTTCCTATCCCTCGACTGCCTCATGCAGACTGCCATCAACATACCAACCATCAATATTGCCCTACGATGATTAGGGCGTATCCACTTCTTCTCCTTCTTCTTCTTCTTTCTTTTTTTTTTCTTCTTTCTTCTTCTTCTTCTTCTTCTTATTTTTTTAATTATTATAACTTATTATTATTTGTTTTGTTGTAGTTTATTGTTTCATCATATGTATTATTTTAGGATGTTTGGACTAAATTAGTTTGGCTTTAATCTGTGCTTTTTTAGATAATGTCAAAAAAGTTGACTGTGAAATGACTCAATGAAGATAATGATGATATTGATGAAGATGAAATCGGTGATGATGCATTGATATTACTGATGATGATGCACTGATACTACTGATGATGATGCATTGATACTATGATGATATATTGATACTTCATTGTTGATACATGGGATGACGATAAGCATGGTCGAAATACAATTGCGATGAATGGACTAGATAATTAGTTATCATGTTATCATCTTGTCTGCTGTTGGCCGTTGTTAAATTCTTCGAAAAAAAATTTGCACTTCGATATTTGTTATTATAAGCATTTAAACGGTCAGTTGTCTGTTATGGCTTGAAAATAAACTTTAATATCGCTTAAATACACCAATGACATAAATATTTCTTGGGACGAGTAAAGTAACAAAAACAAAGAAGGCAGTAATATGACTTGCAAAAGAGAAAATTTCAAAAATTTTTTTCTTAACTTGTGGATTTTAGCCTTTCGAAACAATATCTACCTCTTTAGTAGTATTTCCTTCGTGTAAATCTTCCCTGTGCATAAGTTGACCGACTCTCCTTTACTATATAACCACTTAATTTCTCGAAAAACATTCTGACTTTATTTTTCTGTCCTCTATAACTTTTTCAATCAATATTTCAGTAACGTGAGACGTCAAATTTGACGGTAATCTTTCTTAACGTGTCACAACTTTTTATGTAATATTTTTTATGCATGTCTGTCATATGACTTGCTGACGACGGTGATTGTATTTTTTGTGATAGAAACTTTTTGCTTGGAAACTGGAGAGTAATCTACCGTTGGATATGGAAAGAAAGTGGAAATTTATTCCATTGTTTTGTCCCGTTATTTCCCTTGTGATTACGTGATTACAAATTACGTGTGTGTCCGTGTGTGTGTGTGTGTGTGTGTGTGTGTGTGTGTGTGTGTGTGTGTGTTATATTACGCACGCGTGCGAGGTTCTCGACACATACATATCACATGGAAACAGACATGTCTTGCACTTGCGTGTTCGCCTATGTATGTTTTTGTAAATGGCAATTAAGTTATGCGGATATTGTGTTTCAGTAGCAGTTGGAATTCATCATAGTTCATCCGTTGGTACGAGTTGATGTGACTTGAACCTGGATTAAAGGATTGTAAGAAATTCCTCTCTATGTAACTATTTATTCCGTGTGTTGCTGCATTGCCATCGGTGACTAAAGGATGATATATTTGTTTCTGAATGTTTGCACTACTCACATTAAATTACATTTGCTCGCATCAACTTATATTTACTCGCATTAACTTACATTAAACGTTCATGCAAATGAAGCGCCACGCTCTATGTTTTAAATATTCACTGCGATCTTATTACAAGAAAATAAAAATACTGTATGTAGCCCACTTGTGTGTGTGCGCGCGCGTGTGTGTGTGAGTACCCGTACAGATGTGAGCGTATGTGAAGATGCAGAAAATGATGCAAGCAGGAACTGGGTTTTTAGTTGCATACTTCATTACATTTATCTTAATTTAAAAATGTCATGAAATATTACTCTGCAGATATCGTTCTGGCTCAAAATTTTTTGAAATTAAATATGAAATTCTGTTAATGCGTCTTTAACAAAATACATTCGTGTGTGGTTAAGATATCATACCTCGTCGTTTTGTATGAATGTTCCATATTGTTCTAATTATTATTACTTATGGCGTTACATTTATAAATAGTTAATTAATTAAACATTCATTTTGTGTGAACATTAGTATGCGCGTTATATTCATACATGTTTGTAGTATTTTTTCAAAGGCAAATATGGTATGCAAGTCTATGTTATATAATTAAGATACATTCTATTGATGTGTGTTATATCCATAGCTAGCTTGCTGTTCTTGGTGCCTTCGATTACCGTACGCCACCGCACAACTGTTTATTCGCTTTTTGTCGGTAGATTTGATTCTTTTTTCAGTAATTCCACCAAAATTCGAGGTAAACTGTTGTTTGTTTTTAACTGGTATATTTGTAATAATTGTTAGAAATCTTTTTTTTTATAAAAATATTGCGTTTATTGCAGAGAATGTGTGGTGTGGTGTATGAGCATTTGTCGCTTTCTAAAAATTTATATATCAGTTTTTTTTACTTTTTTTACTTATTTTTTTACCTATTTACAGGTTTTTTGAAATGGGCAACGCCAAAGGTAAACCCGATTTCAATGAACTGTCCAAAGGAACAAAGTTCTCTGCGAAAGAACTGAACACCTTCTTCGATAACTTCAAAAAAGATTTTCCTCAAGGCAAAATCGACAAAAACCAGTTCGAAGTCCTGTACAAGAAAATGTTTGGGACCGAAGGTGACGCTAAAGAATTCTGTGGGCTGGTTTTTGAACAATATGACGCCGATCACAGTGGATACATCGACTTTAAGGAATTCATTCTCACTCTCAGCATTGCTTCCAGGGGAACTAAGGATGAAAAGTTACTCTGGGCTTTCAGACTCTACGATAGAGACCACAGCGGTTTTCTAACCGAAAACGAGATTGTTCAAGTTTTAACGGTGAGTCTTCACAGTATCTTTTATTATTTAAACATCATGTGTTATATTGAATTAATTTGAAATAATTTTTTGTCATGCGTTTTAAGTTTGAAATAATTTTTTAAATCAAAATCAAACATTTTGCGTGCAGACCATCTACAAAGCCAGATGCAATCCCGACCCGTTGAAAGCTGCAACGGAGGCCGCGAAAACGATCATAAAGCAATCAGACGACAATAAGGATGGCCGAGTGTCAGAGGCCGAATTCATTCAACATTCTAAATTCTTTCAAATTATCTAAACGTTGCAAAAAACATTGTATAGTGATAGTCTCAGTTGTATCAATTGCCGACCAAAATCGCGAATTAGAGGCAATTTATCGTTTATGTTGTTTTAGATCTTAAAGCTTGCAGTTGCCTCCCTCTCAATGACTAATTATCCATTTAGCATATTCATATTGTGCAGTTTCGTTCTGTCGCAGCCTCGAGAATGAATTTTTATTTATTTATTTTTGCGGATCCAATATTTGTTTTGACACCAGTTAAATTGTGATAACGTACAAAATTAAAATTGTTTGCTTTCATTTCTATTTTGTATACACAAAATCGATGCTATATTTTGCTGAATCGATTATTATTTTATCTCAATATGTAATGCTTAAAAACGCAATAGAGCCCGCATAGAGCAGCAGTTTTAATGTTTTAATAAAATTTGTTGACTTCATGTCAACGTCACTGTTTACAAAATGAGCTAAAACATGAAAAAATAATTATGATTTTAAGCAAAATTCTTAAGATAGCATTTCCTGAAATCATAATGCCAATGAGCTCTCGTGAATCTTAAACTAAACACTTCCACAAAAGTTTTATCAATGTTAAAAACTTAAATGGCAGAAAGCTCCTCTCAAATTTATTCTAAAGCTAAAGTGGGTACAAAATTTTCTGACTTGGCAAGAAAACCATCCGGTAGAATTAATGAATTAAGGCACATGTCCGATTCTGACGAATTCACAGCTACCATTATGAACGACCTACTGACTTCAAATCTTTCAGAAACGAATGAAAACATGGAAAACGGAAACCCCGCCGAAGAACCTGCAAAAGATGAAAACGTCACAGCAAACTTATCGACAGAAAGTGTCCGGGATGAGGAGCCGCAACAACCACTTCCCATATCTGGCGGACATTTATTTCAAGCAAGACCAAATTTGAAAAATCTTATTCACCCTCCTGATAAGAAGCAACGAATAATTTCTAGAAAACTAACCAGTCCGGAGTATGATTCTGACTTACCATTCCTCAAAGAGATCGAACTTGCAAGTGAAAGATCAAGGGAAGTAGACATTGATGAGAACGATGAAAGAACATTACCGGATAAAGCGAATGAATCAATAGATGGCAGCACAATTAACATGACAAAGATTGACAACGGTTTGGCGTCTCTGAAACTGAGCGATAGTAAACACGACTCCAAATCTTTCACTGAAGATCAAATAAAAAGCGAAAAAGATGTTGAAACAAAAAATGATATGAGCGAAATGAAGATGTCGTTAGATAGGGACAGCAACTCAAAGCAAGACAACACAAGTAGTTTGGCTAAAAATGTAAATGTAAAAAATTTCAAACCTCAGCAGCTAACCAATCCAGATCACGATTTTCAACTACTCAACGGCGAAAGAATCACAATTAAAAAAAGTGCGGAAGCAAAAACTGACAATCGTAAAATTAAATCAGTATTAGTGGCAAAAAATAAAGCAAATAACGATGACTGCACGTATAACTTGACTGATAAAGAAACAGACCTTGAATTTACTGTGGACTTGCCAAGAGATCCAGAAGAAGCGGAAGAAATAAGAAGAATGTTTGATCAATATATTAGAGTCGCTAAAAAAAAGATCAATAATTCGTCGCCCAGGAAATTATATTCAGCAGACGAGATGGGACAACTTCCGGCCAGTGAAAGGCAGGCGTTGAACGAAGACGCCTATATCAATTGGACCGACAGGAAAAATAAAGAAAGAACAGTAAACTCCAAGTTGAATGCAAGGCAGCAGAAACTTGAAGAAAAAAAATGCTTGGTTCACAAAGTTAAGGTTAGGATCTCAACATTAGAATTACATTTAAACATAATGACAATGTAGATTTGATTCTATGAAGTAATTTTCCAACAAATTATAAAACAAAATAGCTATCTTCCAAGTTGGTAGTTGCAGAGTATATAAAATTGAAATCTCTGGAATCCGTGAAGACTAAGACTTGGGAGCAAAAATGTTATGAAAACCACCAACAGTGGTTGGACAATTGCTTCAAAAGGTTTTTTTTACTATTTCCTCCTCATTGTTGATTCACAAACCTCAGTACAAAATATAAATAAAACATGAAAAATCTGTCTGGCTTTTCCTATGCGCATAGCTTACAAAATAAATTTTTTCACAAACTTTCATAAAGTCCCAACAACAACCAATTAAGTTACAAAATAAAGCACTAATTTGAGTTTGGAATTATTGCCAGGAGATTCAAGATAGAAAGTTTCGTGTGGCCTGTCGGAGAATCGTTGGATTAAAATGGTAAAGAACATTATTTATCTTTGAAGCCTATCTTTTATTTTTTTTAGGAACTTACTTCCACTATTTTAATAAATGAAGATCATTTTTTGAAGCAAAAATATAATTTTGCAAACAATTCCATCTATTAGACTCTGCATTGAAAATTAATTTGAAAAATGTTGTCGACTGACCTCGATATGACCATGAACATATTGATATTTTTTATCAATTTGTTTTAACATTTGACACATTAGTCATTTTATTTAATTTTACCGAAATGTTTATGCGAGTTTTTTTTTTATTAACTTATCAAAATAATGAAAAAAATTTTTAAACATTGAATTGCATTTTTACTTTTTTCATCCTATAAATTACATAAAACTTTGGCAAATTAGGTTGCAAATAATAACAATTCATTCATAAATAGCGCTCTAGATATTAAGCTTTTTTTTTTTACCATATATTAATTTTGGTGAAAAACACATACACACACTCACTCACACACACACACACACACACACATACGCACACACGTACGCACACACGCATAATGGTAAAAAACCCAAATAAAACAATTTCTCAGTGATTCATTTTAACAAGTAAATAAAATATTCACATATGTATAGATATTTAATAAATGAAACGGCCAAGCAAGCACGCACAACACAGACATTTGCACACCCACGTACACCCACATACACATATACAGATACACACACACATAACATACGTATAAAACACACAACACATAAACACACACACACACATATGATCCGATCCTGAAAAACTCCGGTGAATTCCAACTTAAATATTTCGCAATTTAATTTTTTCCACAGTATCCTGTAGTAAATTAAATTTTAAAAATATTACATATAACGCTTTTGAGTCATCGACGCCATTACATACATACAATACGTACGTACATACATACATACATACATACATACATACATACAAAAACAATGAGTGGACGTGCTTCACTGAATGTAGTTAGTTGGGATATTTTTATTCAACATTAACCGTTCAAGCACGACATCGTGTATAACTATAACAATTTGAGAATACACACACGCGCATGCACACACACGCACATTCATATGTACAACACATACAGAAATATATAATATATATATATATATATATATATATAAGTATCTCTGTATATACAGAGTTAAGTGATTGAATGTATTGTATAAACCAGAGTATACAAATGTTCTTGAATTATAGCACCGAAGCTCGTAAAAGCAACACAATGCTGAACAATATCCTAGAGGCATGTTCTTTCGTAAGTTCTTCAATTAGTTAAGATCGTCACATTAATATGTACTTTTCATTTATGCTATCATTTTTTTTTATTGAATTCAACAAAACTTTCCGCGTCGTCTGTGGAAAAAGTGATTATGTTTTTGTTTGATTGTCGATGTGCCGGGAGAATTATTTAGTGATGGATGAGTTCAAGATACGTTCTGTCATTTTGACGTCTGTCATTTTGGTTTTCTTGGAGGTATCCACTGCCAGTGAGAATAAATTTATTTTCATATTTACGAGTTTTTATGGAATAAAAGTGGTTCAAACGTGTTCAATTTCATTATTTTTTCAAAAAATTATATAAAAATCCTTCATTTATTTAAGATCAAGTTTGCGAAATTGCGAACTCGCCTCCATATCAGACCGTGCTGAAATGTCCGACCGCCAATGTTATATTCATCTACCAGATGTACTTTTTTAAAACTAATGACCCAAATAGTTTTTATGCTCCGGACGAGAACTGTAGGAACAACGACGTCTACACGAAATACAAATCAACATACTTGCCCGTTAATACGTTAAATATTTATGAGGAGAGTCTTCCAACAAATTTCGGTAACGAGTGTGGAGGTTATCTCAAATTTCTGTCAACATATTATTGCATCGGAAGTAAGGGAACGTTAATTTTTACGAGTTTATTTAATTTTTCACTTAGAAATTTCAATTTAAAGATACAACATCAATCCAGCTGAGCACTAATACTGAAACGAACAAACCTACAATAAATTTTGGAAATTTCTTCATTATGGCGTACAGCACAGATCCTAATCCTTCATTTGCTAAAGTTGAAGTTACAGTTTCCAGACCTTTTAATTCAGCAACTTTTCGAATTGTAGAAGTATACGCTAAAGACACTATTAATTCTACTTGTCCTTACGAAGTGATCCTTACTCAATTCAATCAAAATGACACTACATGCATGGGTCCGAGAGTTACTGACAATTACTTAACTATAACAAATTCACGCTTTTCTATAAGTGTAACTGGAACTGGAACCAGTAGTCAGATGCGGATAACAAAAGCATGGCTCTGGGTCGAAAGTTAGTTTTTGTTTTCAAAATTAATGTCTTGTACATTAAAATAAGGTTTTTTTTCTAGGTTAGAGAATCTAATGGATCTTATTTCAACGATGGAGTTTCAGTTAACGTAATTCCAGCGAGCACTGTTGCACCGACTCCAACGAGTACAACTTCGACAACCACTACATCTACAACCTCAACTTCAACTACCACCACCACAACGACGACGACGACAAAAACGTCAACTACTACCACAACATCCACCACAACCTCAACTACAACGACATCAACAACAACAACCCCTAAAACGTCAGCTACCCCTTCAACTTCGGTTACTCTAACAGTACCAGAAACACCTTCATTGCACAGCTCAACACGAACCCCCTTAATAACTCCATCCAATCCCACTGATCCGGTAACATCCATGACGGAATTTCCGCTAGTGAACGAGAACAGGGCTGGTCTATCCGGTTTATCTACTAACGGTTGGTTCACTGTACAGTGTACAACGCCATTTTCGTTTCATTTAGCATCAACTTTTGTCTATTTTTTTTAGACAACTGTTGTATAAAATCACTAAAATTTATATTTTATAATTTAGCAAAAATTGGCATTGGCGTTGGAGTAGCAGGTGGTTCAGTTCTTTTGATACTGGCTGTTTTGCTGACTATCTGCTGCTGTCTGAAAAGAAGAGGAAAAGAGTAAATATTTACTTCTGATTAATTTCTACTATTTCTACTAAAATTTCTAACTATCCTACCACAGACCAAAAAATATGAAAGAACCATCCGTAATATATAACATCTCGACAGCAACAAATGAACTGAACAACAGCATGAACAACAACAACAATTATTCGTCGGGATCAAACGCTGAGCCGAGTGTGACAGTGCAACCGATACCAATGTTGAAGAACAAGTTCCCTGTCTCGCCTGTTAATGAGACCACTTATGACAATGGAAAGGTTGGAAAAACTTTTGTTTTTTTTTTTAGAATATTTTCCAACTTTCACATAGCCCTGGTTATTTTCTTTCCTAGGAGAAAAACACCAAGTACAAAGCTGTTAGGCAAAAATCGAAGAATAAAAAGACGTTGATGGACATAACACAGAACTTCATGCAAGATGCCGACATTTATTACCCACTTGATGAAACGAATTCACCGAATTTCCAGGCCAATGAAATTGACGGTCCAATCAACGCCTGGGATGACCAAAATTATGACCAAACAGCCGGTGAATAATTTTATCAATTTGTTTATATTAAACTGGTCATTTTTTATTTGTTAACCAACGTCTTGGTCAATATTCGTAACAGGAAAGTTGAACAGTTATCCCGTGGACACATGGGAGTATGACCACCCGAAAAATGGTCCGGTGAAGTCGTTGAATATGAATCGCGTTTCAATGAACGAGTTGGAACATCGCCGAAGTTTGACAGATGATGGTGACGATGGAACCAACCTGCATTCTCCCGCTTCACCCGTGCACTACCAGCCTGGCAAAACACACTTCCAGAAAAATTCAAAGATGTCTAAGTGCGCCATCTTTACATTGTTACTTTCATTAATTTTTTTTAATAGTAGTTTTCAGAAATACATCACAAAACAAACGTGTGAATCATGAATCTTTTTGCAATCGAATTCGGTTACTGCAACAGTTATGACAGGCTCCTTACCCATAACACACCCCTCTACTCAATTAATTTTATAATAAAATTTTCACGCAGAAAAACCGAATCGGCTGCAAAGCAGAAAGTAAAAAAGGCGAAAAGTGTGACATTCGGGAACTATCCGTCCCAACCGGATTTGGAAGATTCCTGGGACCTTCCTGTTGGAGTGCACATTGATAATAACGAGAGGGGTGGAAACATGTTGTTCTGATAAGCAATAATTTCGTAATGTAACATTTATTTCTTCTTATTTTGTAACATTATTTTATTCAACGTTTTATTCAAATCATTGTTGTTGTTTTTTCTTATAAATTTTTGTAAAGTATCCAGGACATTTTTTGTTGTATGTTGATAATCATTTTTACGCTTGAATACTTTTAATGTTTTGTATACATTTGTGTTTTTTTAGATTTTTAATTTTTGAAAATTTTAATCATAATGGGATATTTAATGTTCTCTAACGTGCTGGCGTAAGATGCTTATGAATTCATTGAACTTTACATCTTCTTCACCATCATATAAAATTTTGCCCAAATATTAAAGTGTTAGAAAATAAAATTTTTCATTTATGCAAATTTTTGTTTTTAAAAATGTATTTTACAAACAATATTAATACAAATCTCTTCTTAATATTTATAAAGGCACCAATAAGAAACACATAGTACATGGTAAATACACGTGAAACAAGGCTTAACACACATTGCACATGATAGGCAGAGATATCTTTGCAAATAAATCCGGTCACTGCTATTCAAGTACATATGCAGCCCTTCAAAAATAAAATAGTTCTCAATGCGGCCCTCACTGCAAAAGTTTGCCTACCCCTTGTCTTACACCTTTCAGCTGTTTTCAAACTGATGATTTTTAAAATAATTTTTAACAATCTAACAAGCTGTTTGTATTGTTTTGGAGTAAAAATATCATTTCGGAACTTTTACAATTATGCAATAAAATGCAATCAAACGTTTTAATAGTGCGATGTTCAGTTCATTTTATAACAATTTAATACTCAATGTAGAATCTTTGACTTTGAATAGCCAAAATATTTTTTAAATCAAACTTTATTTTTGAATATTCTAAAATCTTTTCAATAACACAAAAAATCAATATTTCATTTTAAAATTTTTAATGATTTATTAAATTTAGATTTTGAATTTATGAAAAATATATTTATAACCTTAATAAATGCTTCGCATGGTTGATTTTTACAAAACTTCCTTCTTCTAAATCTGAATTTGAAAGGTGCCTAACTAACTATGCGATGTAGCAATCATCATTCAACGAACGTTTGCATGTATGTTTTATTATTAAAACCTACAGACACGAGCTAGCTTAGTAATTTTACGAAAAGACATATTGTTGACAGCGTTATAAAGAATTATCAGCTCTTATATTCAACTTCATACAAATATTAATACAATGGCGTGTAAAAGAATTAGTTTGTTGAGAACGTTAAACGATGATCAGTGAAATGTCATTGCAATACTTTAATAAAATGTTCATTATTACTGCAATAAATTTTTATAACTAATAATTGTTCCTAGTTAGAATTAAATATAAGTTATTATTCAGTTTTTCTTATCGTTGAAAAATTTGGAAAAGTTTGAGAGCTTTGAGATGGGGCATTTTGTGCTTTTATTAATTCTCATTGGTTTTGAGTCATACGTTGTCGGTAGGGCTATTTTTTTATTGTAGAAACTACTTTTATTAAACATTTTCTAATTTATACATTGTTAACATTGAAAAATTCAATGTTATACGTATTTTTTGTTTTAAGATTCGAACCAAAGTTGTACCAACGTGAACATGTATCAACCTTTCAGCATGGAGCTCATATCGAACCCTGGAAATATTATCTTCATCCAGAAGATGTGCTTCCTTAGAAACAATATTCATGCCACTGATTGTGATTCAGCATATGAAACCTGCAAAAGTTATGATGTCGAAACAAAATACAAATTGGCTTACACGATTACAGATAAACTGATCATATACGAAACCGATGTCCCAAAAAATTTTGATCCCACATGTGGGAATTATTTAAGACTCTCCATCGAGTATATTTACTTCTCAAGTAAGAATGTGTTGAAGGCCTAGCCAAAAAGAAGCTTTGACACTTCAGCTCTTTTAGCAAATTTTTTTGTTTATGATTTGTAGGTTATTTTTAAAACAGAGAATCATTTTTAAATACTTTTTAACGCATGTACTCTTATTGTGCAGCAAAAATCTACATCGTCAGTATAAAATGTTATTCACTTGAATTTTTAAGCATTTCTTGTTCAAACGTTTTGCTACGCCATCAAAACCAAGCGCGATATGTGTTCTGAAAATTGTTTTCACATATACAAATTTTGATGATTTCTGATTTTAATATTTCATAACAAAGATACATCGTCTCTCAAGTTGAATGCTGAAGCAAACAATCCTACGATAAATTCTGGAAATTTTTTCATTGTGGCAGACAGCTCAGATCCCAATCCTTCATTTCGTAAAGTTGATGTAACTATTTCAAAATCTAATTATCAAGCAAATGTTCGGCTTTTAGAAATTTACGCTAGAGATGTCAGAAATTCTACATGTTGTTGCACGGTAAACATTACTGCATCTGGTATGAATTACTCTACATGTGTGGGTCCGAAATTTAACGACGCTTATAACGTCGAGAATTTAATTTCACCGTTTTCTATCATTGTCAGTAGAAACGGCAATCAAATTCAAAGATTAAAAATATGGTTGTGGGTAGAAAGTTAGTTAGTTTTTGATTTTTACTTAAAGTTAATATTTTGGGCAATTAAATAAAAAAATAAATTAATTTATAGTAAGATCCAGTAGTGGAGACTATCTCTCTGATGGTGTTTCAGTCAAATTAAGTAGTGACACACCAACGACAACAACATCAACCACAACTATGACTACATCAACCACAGCTACAACTACAACTACATCAACCACAACTACATCAACTACTACTACGTCAACCACAGCTACATCAACTACTACTACGTCAACCAACGCTACTGCAACAACCACATCAACTCCCGCTGCAACTTCATCTCATCCAACTGAGTCTGAAACATTTCCAAGTCAGTCGGTTTTGTCTAGAGAAGGTTAGCTAGAGCTAAAAATCCATATAAAAATTAGTAACTACTTCGCAATTTTTTTAATTCAATTTATTTAATCATTTCTATAAAAAAAATCGGTTACATATTTAACACTTAGTATGTTTATTCGTCTGATCAAAAAATTTAACAAATGAGTTACAAATGTTTATTATCCAGCCAAAATTGGCGCTGGCGTTGGTGTTGGAGTTGGTGGTTCTTTACTGTTAGTAACTGCCTTCCTACTGGCCATGTACTGCTTGAAAAGGAAGAAGTGCGTTGATCATGAATATCTTGATTATATTATTTCCCAGTAATTTATAACTATCGATATTTATAATTTTCAATTTTTTTTTCTCGGTAGACCAAAAGTAACAGAAGAATCGTCGGTGAAATACGACAACAACAACAACTCCAAAAGTTCGGATGAGTTTTATGACAACAGCACAGATAACGCCTACGACTACGATGCGAGTCCAAACATGGAACCAACTATATCTGTGCATCCATCATTTACAAATAAATTTCCCATGTCGCCTGTTAATGAGAGCAATTATGACAGTGGAAAGGTTGATGTTTGTTGAATTTTCCTAAATTAGATCCATTATTTTCAAGCTACGGTCATATGTCGAAGTGTTTAATGATTATGTTTGTTTTTAAATAACGTTTTTAGGACAAAGTTAACAAGTATAAAGCTCTTAGACAGAAATCAAAAAACAAAAAACCTCTCATGAACATAACTCAAAATTTCATGCAAGATTCTGAAATATATTATCCGCTTGATGACTCAACCGGCTCACCAAACCTTCAAGTTAATTATGCTGACGGACCAATCAGCGCCTGGGATGATGAACATTTTTTCGGTGACGTATCGAAGAAAAAATATATACTTCATCATAATATTATTATCTATAAACTGTTTTCAATTTAACCTATAAATTAATGTGAATGTAAAATTATTCATTAAAGAAAAGTTGTACAACAAGTCGACAAAATCATCATCTGGTTTGAAGCGAATTTCAGTTGAGTTGGACTACCGTCGAAGTTTGACCGACGATGGAGACGATGGTCAGATCTGGCAAGTCCCTTCACCTTCCATTCATTATAAACCCGGAAAGCAGCACTTTAAAAAAAATAACAAATCGTCCAAGTAAGATTTTTATAGTTCGACTTGTTTTAAAGTACCGTCGGTCCTCCGTATAACAAATTGGATGGTTCCAGAAAAATATTTGTTATATAAAATATTGATATATATCGAATTTATTCGGAAAAAAATTCGATATAGAAATTTTCGTTGTATAGAAGTTTGCGATAAGGAGGTCCGACTCTATATGCAGTTGCACTTAAATGATCCGAAAGTTATTTAACACTTTTGTAATGTTCTTGATATTCAGGCAATTAAATTTGACAAATAAAGAAAAGGTCAAAAAGGCAAAAAGCGTGACCTTTAACCTAGCTGGAAATTATCCACAACAAATGAGTTACAATGGATCATTCGCAAATGCAAACGACCCAAATGCGGATAGCACTGGTCGGGATATCGATGGAAACTTGCTCTTTTGAAGGGCGTCCATTCCATTACAAATTACATTGACGCAATTCTGGCTGTGCGGTTTCACTAACTTTAAGTTCTTTAGTAATGTTAAACAATTTATTTATTTATTACTATGGCATAATTTTTTCGTAACTTTTTAATGTGTGTTATAGTAGTACATGTGCGTTCTTTATACAAAGTATAAATTAGATTACAGTTATTTGTATTTTCATTCATTTATTTTTTTAAATTATTTTCTGAAAACCAACATCTTGCCAGTTAGCAATAAAATGTTCATTCATTTAAACTAACCATTAACAATGTTTCATTCCTAACTTGCTAGAAACATTAACAATAAAACAAAATAAATTTTCTAATTAAGAAACTCAACGTGAAAATTAAAAGTGCAGAATATCAAAAGAAAGTGTTGTATCATATTAATTACACTTTACCGTTACACCATCGCTTTGTTCATCCAATTAATAAACATTCAAGTAATAAAATCAACTTAAATTCATGACAAATAATATCAATGCTAGCAAAATTTGAAAAAATTCTTTTTGATATAAAATTTTTCAAAGACAAAATAACTGAAAAATTATATTGCAAACAGTCTCGGCCGATCTTGTAGTCATTTTTCATAACGTAGTTTAACGCCAGCAAAATATATGATAGTTGTGTGACTTTAACAAAGCAATACCGTTAATTGTAACATACACCAAAAAAACTAATAGTTATCTCATAAATATGGATATAGACAAAAATACACTGTTTTGAGAAAAAATCTCCAACGTTTTTGCATTGCTATTTTTTAAAACTTATCTTAAACCTTTCACTTAGTTTCAACCAAAGATTTTTGAAAAAAAAATTTAAACATCATTTCAACAAGTTCAAATTTACTGTCAGTTAATGCTATTGTACAGCAGGAACGGTCGAATTGAGCTATGAAATTAATTTTGATTGATTGTTATTATCATAGTTTTTTAATTGATTATAGTTTTAATTGATTGTTATTATCATAGTTTTATAATTCTAATCAGATGGATTTTAGAGATACGCTGTTAATTATTGGCGATTGAGCGTAATTCGGGTGTTTTTTATTACACCCGAATTACGTGTATTGTATTAGTTTCTATTACTGTTTGCATTCAACTAAATATTTAAACAAGTCAGTGTTTTGTTTTAAGCAGTTGTGTTTATAAATCAGACAGCTCGAACTTATGGAAGATAGAATAACTTGACGACCGTGCAAGTTACAACAATATGCAATCAAACATGTCGTTACTGTGTTGTTCATTCTACAGCAATTGAACTCATTAAAGCCTACATTCTTTAACGTTTAATAATAGCCAAGATATTTTGGAAATCAAACCTTGTTTTTAAATATTCTAAAATCAAATTCATGACCTAAAAATATTACTGTTTTATTTTTAAGGAATATTCTTAATTTTAACGAAAATGTTGTAGATATGTTTCGAATTCGTGATAAGATACATTTCATTCTTGGATCTCGTTAAACTACACAAGGATTCAGATGACTTGAAAAGAAACTTTTACTTAAATATTTATAAAAAAAAAATTGATAAATATATTTTAGTTTCATAAAAATAGTTTAGATTTCGAACTCACATAAAAATATTTCTAACCCAAATTAATTTGAATGGCTAATTTTTATTAAACTTACTTCCTTGTTCCTAGCCTAAGGAAGGTGACTAACTAAGAATGTAATGTTGGAATCATCGCTTGCGAATCATCATATTTGCCCATATGTTTTATTATTAAAACGCTCAGACACGAGCTAGCTTATTAATATTACGAAAAGACATATTTTGTTTGGTAGTGTTGTTTTCAGCTCTTATATTCAACTTCATACAAATAGAACGTAAGAGCATTCGTTTTGAACGTTGAATTACAATCAGTGAAATATCATTGTAATACTTCAATTAAATTTTCAATATTATTGCCATGAGTTTTATAACTAATATTTATTATAGTTAGAATTAAATATAAATTATTATTCAGTTTTAATTATCGTTAAAAAATTTGGAAAAGTTTGAGAACTTTGAGATGGGGCATTTTGTGCTTTTATTAATTCTCATTGGTTTTGAGTCATACGTTGTCGGTAGGGCTATTTTTATTTTAAAAACTACTTTTATCAAACATTTTCTAATTTATACATTGTTAACATTAACAAATTTAATGCTATACGTATTTTTTGTTTTTAAGAATCTGACGCAAACTGTACCAACATGAATAATCAATCATTCAGCAAGCAAATGTACTTCTTTAGAAACAATATCGAAGACAAAAACTGCTCTCTTGTGAATGAAACCTGCAAAAGTTATGATATCGAAACAAAAGATAAGCTGGCTTACAGTATTATAGATAGATTGGTCATCGGGGAAACGGATATTCCAACAAATTTTGACCTCGCGTGTGGGAGTTATTTAAATTTCTTTATCGACTATTCCTACGTCACAAGTGAGAAACTGTTAAAAGCCTAGCCATAAAGAGGCTTTGACAATTCAGCTTCTCTTAGCTAATTTTTCGTTTATGATTTACATAAAAATTTTGAAAAAGTTTTTACTTTTTCTAAATTATTTGTATAATAGATAACAATTTTTGAATAATTTATAACGCATGTCCTCTTATAGTGCGGCATAAATCTACATCGTCGGTGTAATGTCAATCACTTACATCTTTCTTGTTTACACCATCAAAACCAAGCGCGATATGTATTTTGAAAAGTGTTTTCGCGTTTATAAACTTTGATAATTTCTGATATTAACATTTCAAATAGACGATACATCATCTCACCTGTTGAATGCTGAAGCAAATGACTCTACAATAAATTCTGGAAGTTTTAACATTGTGGCAGACAGCACGGATCTTAACTCTTCATTCCCTAAAGTTGTCGTAACCATTTTAAAATCTAATTATACGGCAAATTTTCGACTTTTAGAGCTCTATGCTATAGATTGCAATAATTCAACATGTTCTTGTATAGTAAACATTACCGCAGCCAATAAAAATAACTGTTTGTGCCGGGATCCAAAATTTTCCGACACTAACTTAGAAAGTTTTACTTCAACCTTTTCTATCATTGTACGTGAAAAGGGCAACCAAATTCAAAGATTAAAAATGTGGCTTTGGGTAGAAGGTTAGTGATTTTTTTTATTTCACCTAAAATTAATATTTTGTGCAATTAAATTAATAAATAAATTAATTAATTAATATATTAATTAATTAATTAATTTACAGTAAGATCCAGTAGTGGGGATTATCTTTCTGATGGTGTTTCAGTCAAATTAAATAGTGACACACCAGCATCAACATCGACTACATCAGCAACTACTTTGTCCAATACAACTTCATCAACCGCAACATTAACAACGGCGAGAGCAACGTCAACTGCAGCTTCGTCATCCACAACTTCATCCACTACAACTACATCAACCACAACTACAGCTACATCAACCCCAACTTCAGCAACATCAACAATAACTACAACAACTACATCAGTATCTACTACCACTGCCACACTTTCTCATTCAACTGAGTCTGAAACTTTTCGAAGTCAGTCGGGTTTGTCTAGAGAAGGTTAGCTAAAGCTAAAATTTCATATACAAATTAGTAGCTACTTTTCAATTTTTTTAATTAAATAATTTTAATTATTATTATAAAAAATATTGGTTACATATTTAGCGTTTATTATGTACTAAATCTCGATTATTTGTTCGAAAATTTTTTTCACAAATGTTTGTTGTTCAGCTAAAATTGGCATTGGTGTTGGAGCTGGTGCTTTGCTGTCAGTTGCTGCCTTTGTTCTGTCTCTGTACTGCTTGAAAAGGTAGAGAAAGGGCGTTGAAAACGAATATTTTGATTATATAATTTCCTAGTAATTCATTATTATCGATATTAATTATTTGGATTTTTTTCTTTGCCAGACTAAAAGTTACAAAAGAACAGTCGGTGAGCTACGACAACAACTCAAAAAATTTTGAAGAGTTGAATGACAACAGCACAGAGATCATGGACGACCACTCTGAAAGTTTCAGCATGGAACCAACTATATCTCTGCAGCAGTCGTTTAACAATAAATATCCTATATCGCCTGTTAATGAGAGCAGTAATGGCATTGGAAAGGTTGATGTTTGCTAAATTTTTGTAATTTTTCTAAATTTTATTCACATTTTTAAAACCTTCAATTAAACATTGAAACGTTTAATGATTTAATTTGTGTTTTTAAATCGTTTTTAGGATAAAGTTAACAAGTATAAAGCGGTAAGAAAAAAATCATCAAGAAACAAAACACCTCTAGTGGGCATAACTGAAGACTTCATGCAAGATTCTGAAATATATTATCCGCTTGATGACTCAACCAGCTCACCAAACCTTCAAGTTAATGAAGTTGACGGACCAATCAGCACGTTGAATGATCAACATTTTCACGAAAAAGCAGGTGAGCAAACATTTATTTCATTGAAATATAATGTTTTATTAGTTTTCTATTCAACCCGCAAATTAATGTCCAAGAAAAATTCTTTATTACAGAAAAGTTGCGCAGCCAGTTGACCAAATCATTCGGTTTGAAGTTGGACTACAGTCGAAGTTTAACCGATGATGAACAGATATTGAAAGTACCTTCCTCCCCCAGTCAATATCAACTCGGGAAGCAACATTTTAAAAAAATATATAAAATCGTCCAAGTTAGATTCTTACCGTCCTACTTTTTTTAAGTATATTTAGTTGTTTTAGTTGAATGACCCAAAAGTTAGCTATTTTGCAATGTTTTTTAAATTTTCAGACAGATAGAGTTGACAAATAAACAGAAAGTCAGAAGAGCAAAGACCTTTAACCTAGCTGGAAATTATCCACAACAAATGAGTTACAATGGATCATTCGCAAATGCGAGCGCAAATGCGGGTAGCACTGGTCGGGATATCGATGGAAACTTGCTCTTTTGAAGGGCGTCCATTCCATTACAAATCACATTGACGCAATTTTCTCTGTTCAGTTTTACAGATTTCAAGTAATTTAACAATTAATATGGCAAAATTTCTTCATATTTTTTAAAAAAATGTGTATTATGGTGCACGTACGTTGTTTACACAATGCCTAAACTAGACTACTCTTATGAACCGGTTCATTTTAATTACTTTCGATTTTATTTCTTTTGAATTTTATGTTGAATTCCATTGTAAGACCTATCATCTTGCCAGCTAACAATAAAAGTTTCATTCATTCATATGAACCATAAACTGTTTCATTCCTAACTTGCTAGAAGCATTAACAGAAAAATGAATTTTTAATTCAATGAAATCAACGTAAAAACTATGAGTAAAATATAAGTCAGAATAATGTAATATCAACAGCACAAACAACCAGGCCCGCTAAACTTCAGTGTCGAAAGTTCAAAACGTAAAAACAAAAGTATAGAGGGCCGAAGTTGTTTCAATGCTTTTTCATTTGCAAAGTAGCTTCGTGACGCTGCACGTTATTGCTATGCGATTTAAATAAACTGTCAGGTAAGCATGAAACTTGAAAGATGATTAAGATGTAAGAAAGCATTAACACAATAACCGCTAAACTGAGTAAAAAAAATGAGAGTAATATATAAAAACAGCAAGTAAAGTAAAAAATTGTCTAAAAACATTGACTACTGACTGTTTGTGGTGGAATGAGTTGAATAGAAACGAAATATAAAAAAAGTTACTATTAGATTACACTACTTTCTTTCTAATCATTAAATTGATAGAACCGAGAAGAGATAAGGATGAAACATTAACTCAAGCACGAATCATTCTCGCAGTGATTGCTTCCAGAAAGCTGTTGATGCCTCGTTAGCAACTTCGGCAGAATGTAACTGATGGCCTCTTTAATTTTATCTTCTGGGCAACCCCAGAGAAACCGGCAGTGGGAGGAGAGGGGGTAGAATTTGGTTATCTTGTGCAGTTTGAAGAATTTTTCGTAGAGTTGAGTTGGAGGCAGATCAGATAAGCTGATGGACCACGGTGCTCTCGCGAAGTATTCGAATATGTTGTATTTGTTAGGGTTGCTCACAATATCATTCCACTTGGCTTCGTTGTCTCCAAATATCGAACGTTCCTTGTTGAATACTTCCAAGTACCTTTCCATGTGGAACATCAAACGGGAAATGAATTACTATTTATGAACCTCATGTTTAACAAACAAATCATTAAAAATTTGACATCCAACTTAAAATTTTTTTTCACAATTATATACGTTAAAATTTGTGAACAAAGATAAAATCACCGTTAATCAATGTATACTATCTTTAAAGTTCCTCTACCAACCAACCAGCCAACCGACCGACCGACCAACCTGTCAACAACGGCAGCGTGTATGAGGACCATCCTGGCATGCTTCCTAACCAGCGAGATGACATTCTCTCCAGCGTTTATCATCACTTGGTGCAGATCTCTCACCAAAGACTTCTCTTCTGCCAGCAGCAACTCATGATCACTCTGCGATTTCGGCTGCATTGTTTGAAATCAAATTTAACTTCATTCGCAAACAACCGACATAGATTATTACAGTAGTAATTGGCGTTTATTATATTATCTACTCGTTTGAAACGTGAATTAACCAATATTGATGACTATGTTTGATTAGTGGCAATTCATTTGACCTCTAGTCCCCAAAACGATCCGATGTAAATTCTGGGCGGTTCGACAATTTTCGTCAGAGGTGCCATGTTCCAAAGAAGGGTTCCATAAACGCGCATCAACTCCTGCGTTTTCACGTTGTCCGCCTTGTTTAAGACTATCTTCAACTTGGACTCCTTCCCTTGCAACAGACGCAACGTACCTAGGAAAGATTTCATGTTTCATCTCAGCCTTTCTTAGACCCTTACTTACTAGGTCAAAATTAAATTAAGTTCAATTCAAATTTTATATCAATCATTCAATTTACCCTTTTATCAAATATTTATTTATCTATTTATTTATTTATTTATTCAATTAATCAGTCAATCATTTAATACTCATTTCATCTAATTACTTTTTGTTCATGCAATAAGTTAGTTAATCAATAATTCGAACATTTTTAATTCATTCCATCATTTATTATTCTTTCAATCAATCAATTAATCAATCAATCAATCATTCAATCAATCTATCAATCACTCAACCTTCCAGCTCTCTGCCAACATCCAGTCTGTAGGGATCAAACAATAGAAAAATGAGACTTGCCTTGTTTATGAACCATTTCATGGCTTCTTCATACGCATAACCTTAACGATAGCACCGTTAATAAGTAAATTATTTCGAAAAAGTTATTACTAAAAATTAAATAAAAATAAAATAGATAATTATTTATATAGCGCCATCATTGGATTAACCTCTTTCCTGTTGAACTCTGTTCTCAATTGTGCCCGGAGTATCGACAAGGGTCACTCGTTCAAGGAGAGCCCTGGGCAGTTCGACTCCTTTCAACCTCTCTAAAAATGGCTTTGGATGGTGTGAAAGAAAGTTTTACGTATGTATGTATATTGTACATATACAAAGTTTGTATGTTTCATTGTATCTGTAAAAGTTTGTGTACATTGATGTATGGTTGTATCTGTGATTTTATATACAATATTAAAGACTATAAGTTTAGATAGGTTTTTTTTAATTCAATTTTACTAACCCCAAAACAAAGAACTGTAGACTTTTGAATTTTTTTTAAATAATTTCACACTTTGAAGTTTAAGCGTGTATTAACCAATTATTTTACTTTTTATAACCAAATTGATTAATTAATTATATATTTAACTAAAAAGTATGAACACTACCATTCCAAATTTCTCGAGTTCACTGAACTGTGGGTTGGAGCTGAGTATCTTACCATCGGTAGCCTTGAATTGACCACCGTATGACAAGACTGTGAATTCTGTTGTCGTCGGTTCAGCTCCTATCCAAACAAAATCGCATATTTCGTTGTTATTATTGTTATTCATATTTACTATTTTTTATTATAGTAATAATAATTATTATTTTTAGTAGTAAAAATGGTATTGGCAGTAGTAGTAGTAGTTGCAAACACAGAAGTACTAATAGTAGCAGTAGTAACTTCAGCAACAGCAGTAGTAGTAGTAACCACAACAGTGGTAGTAGCAGCCAAATAGCAGTAGTAAAAATTATGAAATTTGAAAAAGTTAATGAAACCAGAAAAAAACACAAAATAGAACATTTCATCATGCCTGTATGAAGTTGGACAGGTGAGTTTTCCAAATTGAGAAGGTAGTTTATCATCGTCGACTTGCCTGTACTCCATGATCCGAGAAATAAGACGATCGGTTTGGCACTTATCTGACTCTCTGTCATTAAATTATTATTATTATTATATTATTATTATTATTGTTATTGTTATATAATTTTAATTATTTAATATATTTATAACATTATTAAATTTTGATTGACATGTTGTTTATTTATATGTTTTTACGTTGAAAAAAGATAAATCGTTCCTATTAATTTATTATTATTTAATTAATTAATTATTTAATAATCATTTATTTATTATTTAATTGGATTTAAATGAAAATTTTAAAGTTTATAATTTTTCATTTAGGATAAAAAGAAAGCGACGCAGTAAAACCAAAGGCATTGAGACCTTCGACGTCTTCCAATCTTAAGGGCTCGACCGTTTGTAAAGGTTAAAGGTTAAAGTCTGTTGCACTCTTCCTAGGTTCAGAGGAATTAACAACACGCAACAACATCGTGTATGAATACGTGCTAATCAGAGCATCACACACGAAGTATGTGGTAGGGCCATCAGGGTCCGGAAGATACAAAATAAGCCATAGATAACGGCTACGTCATTATTATTTTCCTTTAGTAAAACAAAACTGACCACTAAGGAATCCCCAGCTGAGATCTTCGAAGTTGTAAAGGCTCTCCAAAGGTACCACACTATTCTGGTATATCTGTAGAAGTTCCTTCTGGATCTCTTCTTTCTGATAGGCTGTTTCCATGTGTGTTGTGTGTGTGTGTGTGTGTGTGCGTGCGTGTGCGTGCGCGCTTGTGTGAGATATTTTGTTACAATTGACAAATCTTTTGAAAATTATTTTTGAAAGCGAAAATATTGTACATTTGCTGACATTGCAACATTCTTTTTTTTACAAAACATCGATAAACACACACACACACACACACAAACATATGCGTGAAATCATGCTTGTGTAAACTAACACACCTTATTGCGCAAGCATGTCTAGCGGTGAAAATATTAATAAACTGAGGCTTTAGAGGAGTTATTTAATAAAATTATGATACGATAAAACCAATTTATATTTATATTATATTTTATTTAAATGACAAATTTTTGAAGAAAAAAAATAAAAGTTGTAAAAATGAAAAGAGAAAGAGAGAAAAAAGAGATTGAATGAAAAAAAAGAGTTTGAGTGAAGAAGAGAGAAAAGAGAGAGAAAGAAAAAGAAAGAGGGTGAGAGAGAGAGAGAGAGAGAGGCAACAAAAAAAATCTGATTGTAAACATGCGCGTACGTAACGTACACAAATGAAGATGAACAGTGAACACATGTTGTACGTGTGTTAACTTATGCATATATGCTCAACTGAAAAACGATGAGTCACATCATCATCATCATCATCATCATTATCGTCATCATTGTCATCATCATCTTCCATATATTATTTACATTCATTGCAATCATCTTTATCATCATCTTCATCGTCCTCATCTTCATCAACTTAATTTCAAGTTTATTTTTTATAAGCTCACTTAAGCTCGATGACAATTTGATAAAGCTTTGCAAATAAGGCTGATGTATTTGTTACGAATGAATGAGAGTAAATATTGAAATATGGAGTAGTAAACATGTTGTACAGATTCACCAGCGATATAGAGAGAGACCTTGATTATAGCAAAAGTGCATGTACCGCAAACGTACATGTATTTCAAAAGTACGTATACCAAACATACAACTTTAATTGTAACAACAGTCTGAACAAATACTGCTTTTAAATCTTAACAAAAATCATATCAAAACAAAGCTGCATTGAAAAGAAAACATTACAAACTCAACAACAACAACAACACTAGCTAAAAAAAAACAACAACAACGTTTACAGCAACAACGACGACTCCAAAAACAACAAACCATAACTCGTATCTTCCTTTGTATCTTGCAGTCTCAGCAACTTTTCCACGTGATCACGTGGTCTAAATAATAGATCACGTGACGGAGACGATGTGACGTCATCTTGGTTGACGGGTTTTTCCTGATTTTGAGAAGCGTTGTCGCCTTTTGCAGCGTCGTTTCCATCTGATTTTGTTTGAGAAATTTTTCAAAAAAAAACCAAGACAGTTTTTATAGATATGCCCGATGATAAATATAGATCGGAAACCTTTCCACGAGTATATTCCTCCATTGAGAAACCATGCAAACGACAACAAGATCATGAACCGAATTCGTGGTCGGTTCGTGGCCATTTTATTCAACTTATCCTTTCTGTCTAGCAAATTTCTAACATAAAATGGCTATAAGAGATAATAAATTACATATATTTATGGATAAAATCCTTCAAATATTCTTATTAAATTAAATATTTAATTAATTTATGTTTTATGACGAATGTTCAGTTGTACGCTTGTGATAAAAATTAAACGTGTTCGTTTGCTATACGAAAATTCTAAACATATGAATTTGAATAAGGCTTAAATCAATTCTATTATTAAGCCATTGCTAGCAAATTATTGATTGATATCATTTTCAGTCAGTTAAACGTATACTTAATCTGTAAAAAAGTTCGTATTTTTAATTAATAATTAAATAATAATTAATGTATTATTTGTATAAATGAATTTTTATTTGATTTTTTGTCGATTTATATACAATGTGTAAAGTTCTAATAAATTTCATGACGATTCTAACTAAATGCTATCTTGCCTTTTTAGAGTTTTTTATTTTAAAAATGGCAGCCTCCATGCTAAATGTGTTTAGGTCACAATTTATCAATTCCACTAATAAACTAACTTTAGTGACGAACGTCAAGCGTAGCAAAACAGTTGGCCGATGTCTGTTCACCTATTTGAAAGGTTTGTTCCTGATTTGATGTTCCTATTTCAATACATGGCCAATGCAGGCAGGTTGCATGATGGTTTTTTTTTAAATTTTAAATGCTTAGTAGAGCTGCTTTTACTTTTTAATTCAAATTTAGGAATCAGATCATAAGATCAAAATGACCTGCTAAGAATAATTTATAAAATTAAGTTGAGTGTTGTTTATTCTTTATTCAGATTTTTATTTCTGATAGATATTATTTTTACTGTATTTGTATTTTATGTCAAAAAAAGAGAAAATTCTATTTTATTTTACAATTCTTTAATATTTTGTATTCAGAAATGGTGTTATTAAATTAAATTAATTTACTTTACACGTTTATTTTTATTTTAGGTAGTAGTAAAGTGTCATCAAATGCCACACTGCTGGCTGGTAATATCTTCAAGTTATCTGGAAAACATGGTGGTCTAAGACTTCCCTCATTACTACCTGCATCCTCAAATCTCTTCCCAATTTCATGTTATTCCACTGAAGCAGCCACTAACAGCACTGAAGATGACTACCATTCAATTATCAAAGATAACGAAAAAGGAAAAGGTGACATTTTTTTTAAAATTATTAGAATTTATATTAAGCTCATTTATTGTTTATGCTTTATAAAATCAATAACTAATTACTGATTTATTTAATAGATCAAGTCAATATATCACACATTCTAGGTATAGTATAAGGATAAATAGGTCATTATTGTTTATGGTATATCTTATATTGTATTGTATTTAATTCACTTTTTTAAAATATTACCATTAGAGCTGTTATAGTATTGTTAATTTATTTATGTTTATTATACAACTTTGATTAAGTATTTGTATATTATATATATTTATGCATTTATCTAATCAAAAATTATAAATCAAAATGGACAAACAGGTCAGTCTAATAAGATGGAATTTCAGGCAGAAACTCGTAAACTGCTGGACATAGTAGCCAGGTCATTATATTCAGAGAAGGAAGTTTTTATAAGGGAGCTTGTTTCGAATGCGAGCGATGCCCTGGAAAAGTTGAGGTACCTGCAGATGCAGAATGAGTCGGGGATTGTCAGTAGTGAGAGTGGAGACGTCGGAAAAAAACCCACATCTCTAGAGATTCACATCGCCGTCGATGATTCTAAGAAGACTTTTACTATACAGGTTTGTTTTCTATGGTGTTTGGCTATCAATGTTTTTAATTTTACTGTTATTTATTTTTCTTCTTATTTGATATTTACTTGTTACTGCTTAATAATGGACATTTATTTCTGTTTTTTTACCTATAGACACTTTTGTTTGATGAAATATTGTTACAAAAGAAATGTCATTCTAAAGTTGTGTTTATCAGACATTCAGTGGATAAATTGATAGGTAGATATATTGATATTAATGCAAATTAGATTAAAGATGGATTTTTCATAAATAGGTTGAGTGTATGGAGATGTATTTTCTTATTTTGATTTCCTGATTTCTTTCAAATAAACTTGGAATTAAAAAAGATGTATGCCTGTAATGCATAATTCAGGATACCGGGATTGGCATGACAAAAGATGAAATCATTGAAAATCTAGGAATTATTGCTAAGTCTGGATCTAAAGTGGGAATTTCGTAATTTTTTATTCATCACAAATTGTTTATTCGTTTTGAATAGAAAGTATATGCCAATATATATCCCATTACCTCAGTTGATTAATGAGTTAATTAATTATTCATCTGTTTCAGATTGTTATTGGATTTTAATAAATTTCAAAAATGTAAATGTCTAATTTCAAAATGAGGTGCTCACAAAATTTCAAAAATTTAAATTCTCAATGTAATGATTTATTATCCTTAAATCCCATGAGAAAAGAATCTAAAAATATTCCCAAATCTACCACAGGCCTTCATACAGGAAGTCGAAGGGAAAGGTGGGCACGTGGACAAGAACATCATCGGCCAGTTTGGCGTTGGCTTCTACTCTAGTTTCATGGTAGCCGACAAAGTCGAGGTGTTCACGAAATCATACAAGCCTAATGAGCCTGCTTATAAGTGGCAATCAGATGGGTAGGTTGTTATTGTTTTCCATTGTTGTTGTCAGTAGCTCTAACTTGTAACAGTGATGAAAGTCTCTATCACGTTAGATATATTCCAACATTAATATAATGTAAAGTATTATTTCTCAAACTTTTTTATTCTCCAAACACAAAATATTACCCAAAAATTTCAATTTCAACCAGCCATTTTCTAATTGAACAGAACACAAATTTAAAACCAACTGAATAGGTTAGGAACATACGAGTTGAGTGAAGCCGAGAATGTCCAGCAAGGAACAAAGATTGTTATGCACCTGAAAGGCGATGCTTATGACTTTGCTAAGGAGGATGTGGTTAAAGGTTTAGCTAGATTTTTCTCCCTTCATTGCATTTGTTTTTTCTGATTAGATACTATTTATTGGGCCAAATTTCTCATCGTATTGTCGTTAATGGATGGTTGTTTTTTTTTTATTTAGGGTATTTTTGTTTCTGTTTGCTTCCATATTAGATTATCTTTTATGGCATGCTCTTAAGTGGCTTGCTTATTTCTAAATAATTCCAATTTCAATAGTTTACTATTATCTCATTATAATTAATAATTCAGTATATTGCCAGTTTAGCTCATCAGTTATAACTATAACTCATCAATTATGCCCATGATGTGAACAGGCATAATTAAGAAGTACAGCAATTTTGTGGGCGTGCCAATATTCTTGAACGGCCACAAGGTCAATGTCATCCAGGCTCTGTGGACCATGGAGCCGAGAGATGTCACAGCTCAGATGCACGAAGATTTTTACAGGTCGGCAGTTGTAATTTTTTTCGTCATCATTATTTGCCATCGTCATCATCACAGTTGCCTTTATTACGCTATCTTTATAACACATATCACTAGTTGGATGTTTGGTAGCTTATCATGGCGCTTATAAATAACATTATTTCTTTCACTATTATCATTATTACTATCATTTTTCATCATTTTATCATCGTCACGACCAACCAACCTGACAGATTCATATCCAACACGTTCGACCAGCCACGCTTCTACCTTCACTACAAAACTGACGCTCCTCTTAACATTAGAGCTCTCTTCTATGTCCCTGAATACAAGCCTAGTCAGTTAATGAGTTATTCAGTTAATGATTATGTTATTTTTTGACAGCATCAACTTTTAAGCAGATATGACACTATTTTAATGCAATGGCGAGTCACTCAAATGTTAATATTTTTATGCAGTAAGTACTTAACATTTTAACATATCAAATCATCATGCTAACAACAGCAATCTCTCGGCATTGGCATTAAGATTGTAGCAGCGAAGACAACAACAATGGCATTAACGTAGTAGTAGCTACATTACAATTGAAACAACAACATTAACGTTGTAACAACAACAACAACAAACAGCTTTGTTTGACATGAGCCGAGACACAGAGGTATCGCTATCCTTATACAGTAGAAAAGTCATGATCATGTCGAAAGCAAGCAACATTCTACCAAGATGGCTGAGGTTCATTAAAGGTTTGTGCTGCTATCATTATCATTCATACATTCGTGCGCATATTTATACACACATACACGTACAAATGAATACTTGTTCACACACACACACACACACACACACGTGCATTTATAAACACATACATATACAGACGAATACATGCTCCTCACACATACGCACCCACACGCACGCACACACACACAACTTAATTCATCAACAGGTGTTGTTGATAGTGAAGATATCCCATTAAATCTTAGCAGAGAACTTTTACAAGACAGTGCTCTTATCAGGTATAAGTACTATTAGTTGTAACGGTAATAAAATTACTACCATGTAATGTATGGTAATTGTAGTCTGTAATGTAATTTAGTAATGGTAATAAAAGTTTTTACATTTTATAGTACTTAACTTTGAAATTTATGTGTTTTAATTTAGTTAAAAAGACGATTTAACATTACATAAACTGGTTTGGTATCAATGAATTAATTTATTTTCTCCCTAGTTATTTATCACTTTTCAATGGATGATATGTAGCTAAATAACAACCTCACTTAAGTTATATTCTCATCACGATTGTTTTTTTTAGCTGATACATACTCTTTCGCACTTTAATTCTTCACCATCCTCAGAATATACTCTTTCGCATTTTAATTCTTCACCATTCCCAGAAAATACTCTTTCGCACTTTAATTCTTCACCATCCCCAGAAAATTAAGATGGGTGCTGACGAACAGACTGATAAAGTTTTTCTTAGAGCAAGCTAAGAAGGACAAGACGAAGTACCTGCAATTCTATAAAGATTATGGCCTCTTCTTCAGGGAAGGCATTGTCACTACTACTGAACAGGATCAAAGGGTTTGCACACAGTTTGTTTGTTCGTTCGTTTGTTTGTTTGTTCGTTTGTTTGTTTGTTCGTTCGTTTGTTCGTTTGTTTGCCCGTGATTCATTTAAATAATCATCTCCACTACAACACCAACACTACCTGCAAATCCAGGAGGAGATAGCCCGCCTGTTGAGGTTTGAATCGTCGAAACTTGCCCCCGGAGAGCTGACAAACCTGGACGAGTATGCGAGTCGTATGAAAGCTGGCACTAGAAACATCTACTACCTATCTGCTCCCAGGTCCCTCTCACTTCATTTCATTTCTCTTTATTTTTACGGTAATAATATTAATAATGACATATCGTTAAGTATTTGGATTTTCTAATTATTTCTGCTTAGTATGAAACCGAGTTTCAAGACTGATTGCTCGATAAAAATATTTTTATTAGAAATTTTTTAAAAACTTAACCTGAAATGAATTATAAATCATTTGATAATAATTGAAAAACACCTTTTCACTACTATCCCTTTCTCTCTCTCTCTCTCTCTCTCTCTCTCACACACACACACACACACAAATACTTATGTTCCCACGCGCACACACAGTCGCCACCTGGCGGAGACATCGCCATACATGGAGAGCCTGGCTCAGAAAGATGTCGAAGTCCTCTTCCTCTACGAAAACTACGACGAATTAGTACTCATGAACTTGGGACAGTACGACAAGAAACATTTGAAATCTATCGAGAATGATGCCGCTGAAGAAGCTACTGGCACTGCTGCTGCTGATGCCGCTGATGCCACTACTGCTGCTGATGGTAAAGGTGACTACTCATTTGCCTGATGAATTATGTTTTTTTTTTCTAATTTTAATGTTGTTAACGTATCAACAACATATCAACAGTTAAGGAAAGTTTATCAGCAGAACAATGTGATGATATGATTGGTTGGATGCAAGCTGTCCTCGGTCACAGGGTCAATAAAGTCAAGGTCGGTCGCTAGGACGACGACGACGATGTTGATGATGATGATAGTAATGATGATGATGGTGATGATGATGATGACGTTGTTGATCTGTTGTTGACTATTATAATGGCTGTTGTTGTTGATAACGTGGCTAACTATTTTTTTTAAATGGATGATGATTATTTTGATGAGTTGTTGTGGCTGGTAAAGAAGATGAGGATGGCGATGATTATAAAAATAAAAAACAAATGGCAGACTACAAAACGTTTGGTCACTCACCCATGCATCATCACGGTGAACGAGATGGGGGCGGCCAGGCACTTCCTCAGGACTGCCCTGGCCGACAGATCTGAAGAGGAAAAGTTCAAGGTCATTAGTGATTGGTGTATCAGTTGATTAATAACAATAACGATGTTTACTACTAATAATGTTATCGCTTGTGCTGGTGGTGTGGGTTTTTTGACGTTGTTTGGTTGTGTTATTTTTTTATTATTCATGAATGTTTTTTAAATTATTCATGACAGGTTCTACAGCCAACGCTGGAGGTCAACTCGTCACATCAGTTGATTGTCAGTCTGCATAAGCTGAAGTCAAATGATCCTGATCTCGCTAGGATGGTTACTGAACAGGTGTCTAAGTTTATGTTTGTCGGTTTGTGTGTTTTTTGTGTGTGTGTGTCCTCTGTGTGTGTGTGTGTGTCCTCTGTGTGTGTGTGTGTGTGTGTGTGTGTCCTCTGTGTGTGTGTGTGTGTGTGTGTGTGTTCCTTGTGTGTGTGTTTGTTTGTGTGTCCTCTGTGTGTGTGTGTTTCTAATGTTATAGTGATTAAAACTTGAAAAATTATTCATTGTGAGATTTATATATTAATTTCTAATTAATTGATCAATCAATTAGTTAATTAATTAATTGGTTTATTTAATTAATTATTTATTTAACAATTTATTTATTTATTTAATAAATTAAAAACAATTAAATGTTCAGTTGTTTGACAACGCCATGATAGCAGCAGGCCTGCTGGACGATCCCCGCAAAATGCTCGGCCGACTCAATGATCTAATGACTAGAGCCCTCAATAAATAATAAAAAAAAAACCTTCACAAAGACACAATTTTTATTATTTTTATTTCTGTTTTTTATTCTTATTTTCATTTTATAAATTTCTCCAGTTGTTATGATTGTTTTTTTAATTGTTCTACTTGGTTTTTAATTACATATGTTAGTCTTAGTGTTAGTGTGCGTGTGTGTGTGTTTGTGTACATGTGTATTTACATATAACACATAATAATGTTATAAGATTGATATTGTTTATTATTATTGTATTAACGTACAATTTGTTGTTTTTTTTTAAATAGCTGGAAATTTATTTCTTTACTTTGTATATGTGGATTGTTTTGATTTCTGACTGTATGTTTGTTTGTTTGTCTCATTGCTTGACTGTCAGAAAAAGTTTATCGAAACATTTTGGATTGATAATAATAAGATGATGAAAAAAAAATGGATAGGGTTATCATTTAATCACATCACCCTAAACTACTTCACCGTTGGTTAGTAGTTGGTAGTTTTAAGTAAGTTGTTTTGTATTAGTACTCATACAGAACGCAATTTGTAAAAAAGATTGAATTATTTTGAATTAATTCTACAAAAATGTTATGTAAGTAACGCACTGACACACACAAACACACTCACGAAATCAGTAATACGTTATAGAAAACGATGAGTGATAAAATCTTTTTTAATACATAATATGGGTAGAATTTAATTTATTATATATAAGAGGAGTTAAATTATAGTCTGCATATATATATATATATATGTGTGTTTGTGTGTGTGTGTGTGTGTGTGTGTGTGTGTGTGTGTGTGTGTGTGTGTGTGTGAGTGTGTGTGTAATAACGATGACACGTGTAAAAACGTTAAAAGAAGCTGGTGTTATCAATAATAATTAATGATGAAGGAGATAGATTAAGTGATAAAGAACGGTAAGATGATAACAATGAGAATGGGATTGTTGTAATTGTAACACCACGTACACACATACACGCACACACTCATATTACACACACGCTCATACACACACATACTCATGTTTATATATGTATAATGATAAGGAAAGCATTTTGATAAGAAATGAACGCATGATAAAAAAAATCACGAATGTGTTTATATATCTAAATGTAATTAATAGCCAAGAACGTAAATTAAAAACGTTTAACTTTTAAATAGAAGTCTCGTAAAATGGAGAAATTGAAATTTTATTGAAGGAAAATAAACTTTATTTATTTAACAAGGAAGTTGTTTAGTTTCATTTTAAGAAGAAACTATAAATTAATAGACATCTACATTTGCCGATAGCTGAAGTTTGTTAAATTAAACAACGCGTTCAATTAGCACGTCAATCAATCAATTAACCAATCAAACAATTCAATCATTAATTCAATCAATCAATTAATTCAATCAGTCAGAATCGACGATAATTTAAGTCAACGTAATTTGTTCCATTTTTTTATCTGATCTACATATACCATCAATTTGTTAGATGGTCTATTTCATTTTCGTCCTAGTTTGGTGAAGCATTTAGGACGAGCGGAAGTCTCTTGGTGTCCACTTTTAATTGGTTCATAGATGGTGACGTCATTTCTGTATGATTTAGTTCTTTGGTGCTGTTTTCACCTGATGGTGAGTGAAAAAAGTGTTATCATATTGCTATTGTGTTGACGGCGTTTTATATAAATTAAAAAAATTAATAATCTGTTATCTTTGCGTTAATTCTTTTTTTTTCATTTTTTCAGTCATTCATCTTCGTACTCATCCATTGTCCCATTCATTCATTCCACTCATCCATCGTCCCATTCATTCGTTCATTAAAAGGCTTAATTACTACTTATTAATATTACATTATTAATACGTTGTTAGCAACTTTCAGCGAGTATTTAATCAAGATTGGACCATCAATTGGTAGTGATTTCATTGGTTTATTCATTGGTTTATTCATTTATTTATTACTTTATTTACTCATTCATTCATTTATTCATTCACTCATTCATTTATTCATTTATTTATTTATTTATTTATTTATTTATTTATTTATTTATTTATTTATTTATTTATTTATTTATTTAATCATTCATTCATTCATTTACATTTATTTATTCATTCAATCATTCATTCATTTATTGACTCAATCATTCACTCATTCATTCAGAAATTTACTATGTCTTCTTAAATACCTTCTGCTCCATAGCAACGATGTCTGTAACCATTATCATCATCATCGCCATCATTTCTTTCATCATCATTATCATCACCAAGTTTCATTCCTTCATCATTATCATTGTCTTCATCCTCTTCATCTTTGCCTTCGTGTTCATCTCTTAGACTTCCGTTCTGGAGATGATTTATGATCTTTGTATCGTTGACGCCGCTGTATTTAGCATCTTTGGCGCAAGGAGAAACCGGAAGTGACCCTACTGGTGATTTGATCACGTGATGTGGAATTCCGCCGCTGGGGATGTGCTGGTGGTGTTCAAAACTGCTGTTGTTGCTGATTGGGGCACTATTTTGACTGTTGTTAATGTTACTATTGTTGCCGATGTTGTTGTTGTTGTTGCTGCTGCTGATGTTGTTGCTAATTATGATGTTGCTGTTGTTTTGAATTTTGTTGCTGCAATTATTTTTTATGGTGTTATTTGTGATTGTACTACAAAAAATATCGTTGTTTGCTTTGCCATGGTTGCTGTTATTGAATCTGTTATTGCAGCTATTCAGACTTATACTGTTGGTAGAATTAAAATTGTTGTTGTTGTTAAAGCTGGTGTTGTTGTTGTTGTTGCTGCTGCTTGTGACAGCAATGAATTGTTTCTCCAAAGCTTTTCTCAATTTCTTCTCTCTTTTCAACTTCTTCTCCAATTGTTCTGTAGAAATTTTTAAAAGATACATGAGAGATGCTACCAAAGAAAGACCTGCAAACTACATTCATGTAGACATTAACGAAACAATCGATACACTGAAATACACAGATTAAATAAACACACTCACACACACACACACAAACACACGCACACTAACACAAACACACATACAAAAACATACACACACGCACACTAACACAAACACACATACAAAAACATACACATACACACACACACACAAACACAAACAAGTGGTTAGAGAGTGTTGCATAGAAGTATGTTGAAGAAATACGTACGTACATATACGAAGGATTTGACTACGCTTGATAGCTCGCCACAATAATTCATTCATCCAATTTTTCGCAATGTGAGTCGATAAGCACTTGAAGAGAATTATGGCGATCTTACGCACGTGTGTTTGCGTAAGTGTACGTGCCTGTTTGTGTATGCATTCGCGTGTGTACGTGTGCGTTATTATTTGTGTGTGTGCGTATGTACTGTTTGTTTGTGTGTATGTGTACCTATTTGTATGTAAGTATGTGTATGTATGTATATGGATATATGTTTTGCAAGTTTCTGTGTGTCTACGCTTGCGTTTGTGTCTCTATGTATGTTTTTGTACGTGTATGTATATGTGTGTATTTGTTTGTGATTATGTAATTTTATGCTATAGTATTTGTTTGTAATGTGTGCTTCTGTATCAGAGGGTTTGCGTCTATATTTTTCAAAGTTTTATTTTTTAGCAGTATAAAAATATGTTGTGTGCTGTGTGTACAAATTTATTATGCACACACACGCACACACACAAACAGACACACACACACAGATACACACACAGTCATACATTTGAAAACATTGATGCGATATATGCAAGGCTGTTAATCGTGTTTTATGTAAAGATGCGACTACATACATAAACATATATATGTGCGTATGTATGTGTGCTTTGTGTGTGTGTGTGTGTGTGTGTGAATGTATGTGTAAATGTATGTGTGTGTATGTATGAATGTTTGTTTGTAGATGCATACATTCTTTTGTACACTTTTAATTAAATTTCTTTAAAAAATCAATTTCAAATGAAAAAAGATATCTTTGCCTGAAAAAAGCTCTGCCCACACGCTTATATTTGATACAATATTTACATTTAATATATGTATATCAGTATATATATATATATGTGTGTGTGTGTATGTGTGTGTATGTGTGTATGTGTGTGCGCGTAAGTGTGCACGTGTGTGCGCGCGTGTGTGTGCGCGTGTGTGTACGTATATTTGTCGGCCAGCCAGTCAGCTATGAGTCGAGAACTTAAGAAAACATGACAAATGTCTGGATTAAAGAGATTACATTGGTCTGCTATGAAACTCATAATTGCTATTCCTATTGCTCTTCAATTGTGTTGCTGCGGTTGCTGTTGTGGCTGCATATTGCTGTTGCTGTTGCAGCAGCGGTTGCCGTTGCGGTTGCCATTGCGGTTGCCGTTGCACTGGTTACTTAGTTTGTCTGTGTTGCTATAAGGTAAGACGCCTGCCTGGTCTTGCTGCTCTATTGGCTGGATATCTATCAGCGTCACAACCATCGTCATCATACTACTTTCATCATCGTCGTCGTCGTCATCATCACAATCATCCTCGTCAGTATCATCATTACAATAATCAAAATCATCATTATCACCACCGCAATGGTCGTCATCATCATCATGAGCAAACTAGCAGTAGAGCGATTGTAAACGAATAAATAAATCAGTTTCACAACGTGTAAACTCCATTTAATCCACACAAATACAATACAACACGATATGTTGTTGTCGTTGTTGTTTGTGTTGCTGTGATGTTGTTGTTTGGACGCATATTAACTCAAATGTGCTCTATTGTTGTTGTTTGTTTTTACATGACGTTAAATTTTTGCAAACAAAAGCGTTTTGAACAAAATTATTTTCTGAAATGACCAAAAATTTATTTAAAAAAAATTGACAAACCAAACCCTAAAAATTTTCATTGAACGAACAAAAAACTAAACAGCAACAAAACAACTGCTGCCACTATACTACACTAACAACAACAACAACTACTAGTACTACTTCTACTACTACCACTAACCTTTTTCCAGAAAATGCTTTCTTTCATTTTCCTTCACTCGATCCATCGTCAGTTTCATCATCGCCTGCACATTCAAGAACATCATTTCCGTACTGACAGCGCTGGAACTATTCCGCAGTAAATGACCTCCTACCCTCTGATTGGTCCACTGACTTGTTGCTTGTATTACGTCATCAAAAGATTCTGAATAATATTCTGCAGGATTTTGTTTGTTACTTTTGTAGTGAATGGTTTTAAGATATGTACGAAGAATTAGTTATTGTAATGGGTTCAATTTTAGTAAGAAAATAATAGTTTCATTTAATTAGGAAATGAGTTTTTATGTATTTTTTAGTTTCCGTGAAATTGATGCTGTTTGGCAGCGACTGAGTCTAAACACAAACTTGTGTCATTTGCGAATAGCAATTCAAGTTTACTGTCTGTGTGTGTGTATGTGTGCGTGAGTATATGTGCATGTGTATGTATGTATGTGTATATGTGTATGTATGTATATGTATGCGTGTGTGTATGTGTGCGTATGTATGTGCGTGTATCCACTGTTCTGTATTTTTTCAACCTACCGTCAATACTGAGTTTTAGTTTTGTTGTTCGATCTGAAAACTCATCTTTGTTGTTGTTGTTGTTGTTGTTACTGATGTTGTTGTTGATGTTATAAAGTTCTGTACGTGCATTCATGTTGTTGATGTCTTTGTTGTATTTATGTTGGCTGTTGTTTGGTGGGTTGTTGATGTTTTTGTTCTTGATGTCATTTGTGATTTTGTTGTTGTTGTTGTTGGTTTTGCTGCTAGCGCTAGTGACGTTTATGTTGCTAATTGTAACGTCATCTTTGTTAGTGTTATTATTGTTGTTGTTTTTATTGTTGTTATTAATGTTATTATTGTTATTGATGTTTTCATTTTCGCCACCACAGTCACTCTCATTTCCGTCTTCCACGCGTGAAGTTTTTTTTCCATCATCATCATCGTCGTCGTCGTCGTCGTCATCATCATCATTATCAACACCGGCATCATCATCATCATTTTCGCCATCATCACCGTCATCTTTCTTGCAATTGTAATCATCGAGGATGACGTCACCACGTTGCTTTCTGACGTCACTTCCGTTTGTAATGTTTTTGAGTTTTTTGGTAGCTGGCTGTGGTTTTGTTGTTTTGTTTATTCTGCTGCTGCTGTTATTGCTGTTGTTTTTGTTGTAATAGTTTTTGTTGTTGATGATGTTGTTGTTGTTTTGATAATGTCCATCCTCTTCATCACTGCTGGCGTCTGTATTTGAAGGAGGAAATAAATTATATCATAAAAACCAACTAATTTCACAGAAAAAAAATTGCGCTAACAACTTAAATGACAACAACAACAACAACAACAATAACAACAGCTACCACAGTTTCAACGGCTGCCACAGCCACCACAACTACCACAGCCACAACATCTACCATAGCGTACCAACAACAAAATAAAACGACTAACCTCGATTAAGATTATCATTTCTGTAGCTAGTAAACTTATCAACATCATCCTCGTCGTCGTTGTTGTTGATGCGGCTGTTAGTGATATTGTTGTAGTTGTTGTTAGTGACTTTATTGTTGTTGTTGTTGATGATGTATTCTGAATTCGGGCTGCACGAAATCGGCCTTTTTACTATTTCCAAGTTGAGAGGAAATTCGTAATTTGCTTTTGATGTTGTTGACGTTGAGGTTGTTGCTGCAAACATTGATGCTACTGTTGTTTTGATTGTTATCGGCACCTGTGTAGCAACGCTAGAATTGTTGTTGTTTAGGCTGTTGAAGATGTTGTTGTATGATGAGCGCTTGTTGAAATTCGGTAGGAATGGATGGGCGAAAATTGGTGATTGTCTATGTTGGTTGTTGTTGATGTTGTTGCTGTTGTTGTTGTTACTGCTAACACTGTTGTTTCTGTCATTGTTGATGTTGTTAATTTTGTAATCATTATCAGGACAACTTTCGCAGTCGTCGTTCTCTTCATCGTATTTGTTGTCGGTTTCGACGTTTTTGCTGTTGTTGTTGTTTTTGTCATCATCGTCGTCAACAATGCTGTTGTTGTTGGTGGCGATGACGTCATTCTCAATTTTATCAGCGTCATTGTCGTCAGAAAAACTATTGCGTCTGCCGTTTATTTGCTGCTGCTGCTGCTGCTGATGGTGGTAAGCTCTCAATTCGTTGTACCTACTTGAGGGCATGGTGGAAGATTATGATAATGATTTTTGATATGTTTTGATGATGATCATTTAAGCCATCATTATCATCATTAACATTATTATCATCATCATCCTCATTGTCGTCGTCGTCATCATCATCGTCGTCGTCATCACTTTCATCAGCAGCAGCAGCAACAACTACAACGAACCTGGCAGACGACATGTTGCGAGTGGCCGCTATATGGTTGGCCACAAAATTCATAAAATTAGGATTTCCAAAAGTTAAAAAATTTATGGGGGATAGATGGGGAGGCAAGGGGGAGGGTAGAATTGTTGCTGTGGCAGTCCCTGGTTTGTTGGGCGGCTGGTCGCCAAATGTCGGCAGGTAGGTGAATGGAGATTTTTTGGGATCTGTAGGAATAGAGATGTTATCAGTTGCTAGGAAATATTCCAATGCACATTCATGTTTGCTTGTATGTGTGTGTGTACGTTTAGGTATGTGTGCGTGTGTGTACTTATTTGTTGTTTGTCACTGGTTCATAAGTTCGTTCGTTCGCTTATTCTGAAACTTTGCTAAAAGTATTCCTTCATATAATCACACGTGTATTAACTTATTGATATTAAGATTGCTGTTATCAACCTTTGTTTCAACTCACGTAAGTAATAATTTCACCATCCTTTCAAATGAGCCCTTAAAGTAAAAATTACGCCATGGTTAAGTTACTTCTGTGTTCAAATACATGTATAATTGTGGCGTGTGTGTGTGTGTGCGTGTGTGTGTACGTTTATGTGTGTGTTGTTTGTGTGCGTGTGTACGTGTGCGTGTGTCTGAGGAAAAGAACATATGAATGTGTGCATTATAAAGGGTGTCTCCTTTGATGGATGAATATGGTTAGATGCTTGCAAACTCTGCTCCAGAGAGCGATAAAGCTAATCAGATCAGTATGATGTTGTTGTTGTTGTTGTCGGTGTTGTTGTTGTTGTCGGCGTTGTTGTTGTTGCAAAACTTGTTG